CCACCTTTTTGCTGGACCACCTGTTTTACAAATGAGACCACATTATAAGTTAAATATATAAATATACAAACTACTTAAAAGAAGAACATTTCTATCTAAACATAGTTATGAATAGAGGGAGAGAGAGTATAAAGATTGGGGGCACTTGTTTTACAAATGAGACCACATTATAAGTTAAATATATAAATATACAAATTACTTTAAAGAACATTTCTATCTAAACATGGTTATGAATAGAGGGAGAGACAGTATAAAGATTGGGGGCACTTGTGTTACAAATGAGACCTTATTATAAGTTACATGTACCGTATTCGACGTAATAAGCACCCAGGGCGCTCTCAAAATTAGAAATAAGGTGCTCTTATTAGAATATTATTTTGGTTAAAAAAAGAGTTGAAAAGAGAATTTTGAGTTGAAAGATAAATTTCGTGGTGTACGCTGACAGCCTGAAATGTTTATATTCCACCGATGTATTTTTCCAGAATTTAATTGCCCATAATTAAGGGTGCATAAATAAGTCTTGTGTACATTGATCAGTCAGAAGGGGTGTTAATTGGGATTGTTCATTAGCCAATATATGAGCAAATATCGCCGAGGGAGCTTATTACGTCGAATACGGTATATCTACATAAATAGACACAATACTTTTAAAGTGTTTCAGTATTAATACAAGGCCTCAGCCACATTATGTCTTCTAATGTCTTTACAGATAATCATGTCAACACACCAAACTTAAGGAGGTGTTAAAAGTTCTTACAGACAATAACAACAGATTTCACAAAAATACAAACACAAAATGTTGAAAAACACATACATGTATTATCAGTCAGACATTTTCTAGAAAAAATGTATGGATCCTTTGAACAATACTTAATACAAAAATATATTAATCTGGCATGAGTAGGAATGATAAGTAACCTTGGTGAAGGATTTCAGTTGTGTTAAATTCTACCAGTACAGACAAACTGTGGCTTTCAGTCAAAATGTATACACATTAAACTCAATCAGTGTTTCTAATGTCTATCTTGGAATACCACAGTTTTATCATTAAACTGGAACAAATCTGAGGAGATTCAGAGCAAAGAATTATTATTGTTTGTTTTTTGGGTAACACCACACTCAGAAATATTCCAGCTATATGGCAGCGGTCTGTAAATAATCGGGTCTGGACCAAGCAATCCAGTGATTACCACCATCAGCATCGATCTTCAGTTGACATGCATCAACTAAGTCAACAAGTATGACCACCCGATCCCTTTAATCGCCTCTTAAACCAAGCATGGGTGCTACATCGATAATCGGATGTCTTGTTTGTAATGTCTGACTAAATGTACTTGACACAACAATTCCAGTCTCTATACAGGACATACACTGTGTAAGCCTAAACATCACCTATCTATACTCATGTATGTTGGAATGGATGGTGAAGTCACTGCTGGATGCTTATTAGGGCAGGGACGAGTCCAAATTTACTACCCAGGTACCCACCACCCTATAACCCTACCCTTCCCTGGTACCCATCCCCCTATTACCTGACCCTACCCGGGTACCCACCCCCCTATAACCCGACCCTACCCGGGTACCCACCCCCCTATAACCCAACCCTACACGGGTACCCACCCCCCTATTACCCTACCCTACCCGAGTACCCACTGTTGGTCTCAGGGGATGTCTCAAAATGTCCGATTCGGAACATTTTTAGCATAGCCCTGGCAAAACGTATTTAGATACATGTACTAAACAATCTGGTCATTCATACACTGAAGTTGAATTAAGTCATATTAACCATAGGAAAAATCAGAAGGAATGGGTGGATAGTCAAAAAGAAATGCGAACATTAGCGACTTTAGTGTAACCATAGAGTTATAGATCATCTTTGTCATTAAACAATATATCACATGACTAATCACGGGTCCGGGTAGTCCTGTGGGTACCCGGGTCCTACTCAGTACCCACCCGAACCGGGTACAGAGTTACCCGTCCCAGCCCTAATGCTTATGTATGGGAGTGTTCTAACAACGAAACAGTCTGTGAAGCTGTGATGCCGACACAATCACAGCAAAGACAAATGAAAGACGTGCCACACTGTTCTTTAAACTATGACAACATTGCATTGTAACTTTGTTGAGGGTGGGGGCAGTCGGGTAGCCTAGTGGTTAAAGTGTTCGCTCGTCACGCCGAAGACCCGGGTTCGATTCCCGACATGGGCACAATGTGTGAAGCCCATTTCTGGTGTCCCCCGCCGTGATATTGCTGGAATATTGCTAAAAGCGGCGTAAAACCATACTCACTCACTCACTGTTGAGGGTGCCATACCACTGATGGGCATTATAAATAGAATGTGATATGACTGCCTGTTAGAAGTTGAGGGAAATCATAAAAATAACACTTACATATATACATACATTAGAGCTTAGACGGGTAACTCGCGTACTCAGGTCAGGTGGGTCTTGAGTAGGACCCGGGTACCCACATGACTACCCGGACCCGTGGTTAGGCACGTGACATACTGTTTAATGACATTAACAATAAAACTCAATGGTTACACTACGCGTATAGCTCATGTTCACATTTCTTACTCACTATGCAGGCATTCGTTCTGACTTTTATATGTTCGAGTAAGGATAAAGGGTCTATCAACTGCAGTGTATACATGATCATGTATCAATAGTTTTTGCCAGGGCTGCGGTAAAACAATTCCCATTCGGACATTTTGTACCCAACTCTTGAGACCTGTAGCGGGTATCCGGGTAGGGCCGGGTAATAGGGTGTCGGGTACCCGGGTCGTAAATTTGGACTCATCCCAGCCCTAACATACATATTATGTCTTCTTATGCATAAACCAAATTATACATATGTGATTAAATATATTGAAAAGTTAATACTATTAACCATTTAGTTATGTGTAACACTGAACACAGTTTATTTCTGTACATCCCCCTATATGTAGTACAGTGTCAATCTGGAGCAGTAGTTATCAAGTGTGGTGAGCATAACTAAATGTACACTAACCTCCTTTTCATTTGGAGAGTAGGACCAAAGGAGAAAAAATTAGAGTACCTATCTTAAAAAACTAAGTACTCTTAATACAGCAGATTTAACAAATATGGCATTATCGATATGAGAAGTTTTTTGAAAAGCAGGGAGATTATGTTGAAAAATAAAATTAAAAACACTTTTACAATTGTTAATTTTGTTTGTCAGGCTTAGAACTTTTTTACCAGCCCTCGATCAGCAGATTTAACAGATTTGGCATTTAAAAGAATGACTTCCTGGTCTTGAACTGGGAATTTAAAAAATTGCTAAAGAGGACACATACATTTTTTGATTTTTTTAAGAAGATTTTATTTTTTCCCAAAAGGACTCTTTTTCAATGTCATTTCTGTCATGGGAGTTACCAGAACCTGAATACAACCATGTCACTTGTGTTCCCTGGAGCAATAACCTATCTGACAGAGCGAGGTCAAATGGATGAGAACAATATCAATTTTGACTTGATGAAAATATGGCTCATAACACACATTGATCATGTCTGCATATCTCATACAAATACTCTTCTAATATTTATGGAAATGTTTCATGAATTACTTTTAGATAAGTTACACAGCTATTTTTTTAGTCTTTTGAACAATGTTCATGTTTTGGAAATGTGAGAATGGCAGTGTAGTTAATGACTTCATATACAATTACAGGTTCTAAAAGTACCGTATTCGACGTAATAAGCACCCAGGGCTCTCTCAAAATTAGAAATAGGGGGCTCTTATTAAAATACTATTGAAAAATAAATTTCATGGTTTATGCTGACAGCCTAAAATGTTAATATACGACAGATGTATTTTTCAAGAATTTAATTGCCCATAATTAAGGGTGCATAAATAAGTCTTCAATCGGAAGGGGTGCTAATTGGGATTGTTCACTAGCCAATATATTAGCAAATATCACCGTGGGCGCTTATTAGAGCGGGGCGCTTATTACATCGAATACGGTATATATAAAAACAAGCATGAAATACTCACATCCCCTGCCAATATGACATGTCGGGTGTGTGCAATGCATTAGCGCCTGTGAACTATGTTCACTGGGCCTTTTTGTAAAGAAATATACTACGTTTTTCATGATCTGCTCCCGAAACGAGGACTACCTCCATTTTCAGTCTAAATCAAAGTTGTTGCCATGGAAACTCGAAAAATAACTTTAAAAAAAATATCCAAAACTATCCAAAGGCACCAGTTCACCACTAGACCTATCAATGTGCAAAATATGGTGAAGAAAAATGGTACGGTTTTCAAGATCTGCTCCGGAAACGAGGACTACTGCCATTTTCAGTCTAAATCAAAGTCGTTACCATGGAAACTAAAAAAATATTGTTTTTAAAAATGCCAAACTATCAAAAGGCACAAGTTCACCACTAGACCTATCTATGTGCCAAGTATGACGAAGAAATATGGTACGGTTTTCAAGATCTCCCCGGAAACGAGGACTACTGCCATTTTCAGTCTAAATCAAAGTCGTTGTCATGGAAACTCGAAAAATATTTTTTTTTAAAATCCTAAACTATCAAAAGGCACCAGTTCACCCCTAGATCTATCTATGTGCCAAGTTTGGTGAAGAAATATGGTACGGTTTTTAAGATCTGCTCCGGTAACGAGGACTACTGCCATTTTCAGTCTAAATCAAAGTCGGTGCCATGGAAACTCGAAAAATAACTTTTTTAAAAATCCCAAACTATCAAAAGGCACCAGTTCACCACTAGATCTATCTATGTGCCAAGTTTGGTGAAGAAATATGGTACGGTTTTCAAGATCTGCTCCGGAAACGAGGACTACCGCCATTTTCAGTCTAAATCAAAGTCGTTGCCATGGAAACTCCAAAAATAAATTTTATAAAAATCCCAAACTATCAAAAGGCACCAGTTCACCACTAGATCTATCTATGTGCCAACTAGGTGAAGAAATATGGTACGGTTTTCAAGATCTGCTCCGGAAACGAAATGTGACGGACGGACGGACGGACGGCACCCATTCCTATAAAATAAAATATTAATCACTGCTCATACTAAAATCACATTCATTATATCAAATGTACTAATATGTGACAATCAACTTTTGTTGATAATACTAGAATGCTCTAACAAATTGGTCATCCTTTCAACATATCCTATTGAATCATGTGATAGGATTCGAACCAAGGACCTTCTGATCCGGGATCAGATGCCTTGTCCACATGACCATGACCATGACCAAGCTTGGCAAATTCATTATATATATTTGAACGAATGTGGCGGCAATAGTGAAAATCAGATTCAAACCTCTTGAACAAACTGAGGAGTCATCATAAAACATAAAAACGTAATACATAAAACAAGTACCTAAAATATCAGCTTCTTTGCGCAAGTTGTAAGGGACCTATGATTTAATATTCTGGGGAGAGCCTGCGCTTCTGTTTGAGATAGGATATTTTCCGGGTCATTTTACCAAAACATTAAAGGTCAACAATATATTTTTTACATCCACCAGGTGGAGCTAGCAAATTAATATTTTCAGTAAAACCTGGGTACAATTTTGTTTTCCAATTTGTTTTCTGGAACAGAATTTTTTAAAAATCAGATCCCCCTTCCACTCCCCAGAATATCGAACGGTTGGTCCCTAAATGGCAGATTACCGGTATAGCAGATGTTTCAACTGGAGACTCAGACTCAGAAGGCCTTATCACTCATAGGAGAGGAAGCATCTTCACTAAATTGACTGGTGTCAGAAATGGACAGATCTGTTATTTCTAAATTAGACACACAACCTGAGTCATCCCCATCATTCTGTTCATCTGTTTTACAAGGATGACCTTCCAGCTGCTGCTCTGCCACCAAGGGTTCTCCACCTCCACCCTCTTGACGTTGCTCTGCCACCAAGGGTTCGCCACCTCCACCCTCTTGACGTTGCTCTGTCACCAAGGGTTCTCCACCTCCACCCTCTTGACGTTGCTCTGCCACCAAGGGTTCGCCACCTCCACCCTCTTGACGTTGCTCTGCCACCAAGGGTTCTCCACCTCCACCCTCTTGACGTTGCTCTGCCACCAAGGGTTCTCCACCTCCACCCTCTTGACGTTGCTCTGTCACCAAGGGTTCTCCACCTCCACCCTCTTGACGTTGCTCTGCCACTAAGGGTTCACCACCTCCACCCTCTTGACGTTGCTCTGACACCAAGGGTTCACCACCTCCACCCTCTTGACGTTGCTCTGCCACCAAGGGTTCTCGACCCTCTTGACGTTGCTCTGCCACCAAGGGTTCGCCACCTCCACCCTCTTGATGTTGCTCTGCCACCAAGGGTTCTCCACCTCCACCCTCTTGACGTTGCTCTGCCACCAAGGGTTCGCCACCTCCACCCTCTTGACGTTGCTCTGTCACCAAGGGTTCTCCACCTCCACCCTCTTGAAGTTGCTCTGCCACCAAGGGTTCACCACCTCCACCCTCTTGACGTTGCTCTGACACCAAGGGTTCACCACCTCCACCCTCTTGACGTTGCTCTGACACCAAGGGTTCTCGACCCTCTTGACGTTGCTCTGCCACCAAGGGTTCGCCACCTCCACCCTCTTGACGTTGCTCTGCCACCAAGGGTTCTCCACCTCCACCCTCTTGACGTTGCTCTGCCACCAAGGGTTCGCCACCTCCACCCTCTTGACGTTGCTCTGTCACCAAGGGTTCTCCACCTCCACCCTCTTGACGTTGCTCTGCCACCAAGGGTTCACCACCTCCACCCTCTTGACGTTGCTCTGACACCAAGGGTTCACCACCTCCACCCTCTTGACGTTGCTCTGCCACCAAGGGTTCTCGACCCTCTTGACGTTGCTCTGCCACCAAGGGTTCGCCACCTCCACCCTCTTGACGTTGCTCTGCCACCAAGGGTTCTCCACCTCCACCCTCTTGACGTTGCTCTGCCACCAAGGGTTCGCCACCTCCACCCTCTTGACGTTGCTCTGTCACCAAGGGTTCTCCACCTCCACCCTCTTGAAGTTGCTCTGCCACCAAGGGTTCACCACCTCCACCCTCTTGACGTTGCTCTGACACCAAGGGTTCACCACCTCCACCCTCTTGACGTTGCTCTGACACCAAGGGTTCTCGACCCTCTTGACGTTGCTCTGCCACCAAGGGTTCTCCACCTCCACCCTCTTGACGTTGCTCTGCCACCAAGGGTTCTCCACCTCCACCCTCTTGACGTTGCTCTGCCACCAAGGGTTCTCGACCCTCTTGACGTTGCTCTGCCATCAAGGGTTCGCCACCTCCACCCTCGTGATGTTGCTCTGTCTCATAGACTTCTCTCCTTGTCAACACAGGGATATCCCCAGCCATGGTTGTGAGAGAGGACATGTCATCTTGAAGATCTGAATCTGTGAAAGTCGAAGACTCTGGACTTCCTATTTGAGGTACAAAATCTGCTTCGTCTGAATTGCCTGTACTCCTTTGTTCTGCATCTAAGGGAACAAGGCTCTTGCCTGGTACAACCCTTTCCATGGTGACTGTCACACTCCTCTGAAGAAACAGGTGTTGGAGTTTGTGATCAAAACGTATCACCTTGTTCTCATATTTGAGCATGAATGCGACCTTCATCTGAAATGACAATTGATCAGTATTATATTTCTATCACTAATCATATATATCATAGTTTAGGAGACAGACCTTCTATGCCTGTAGGAGACAGACCTATGATTTCATTCTTGATGTATGTAATACTTAATTTTATACTCTATCTTAAACAGAAACTGGGAACATCAGAACAAGCATGAGGTTGCAAATGAGTCATCGATTAGGAGATAATCCTGCTGTGTATTGAAATTTGAGATAGTGATACTGGAGATTTGATACCTCTTACTAGTATTTTGAAATGGAACCAAGTGCTTTTATTACTGTTTTGAAATTTGAAGGTAGTCATGCAGATTTGATACCTCCTAATTTGAATTGGAACTTAGCTTCACTATAATAACTTCTTTGAGAGGCATTTAGAAGTTGGAGTACTAAGTAAGGATAAGACATATGGATGAACAACTTCTTTATTACAATTAGGAGCGACGTTTCGGTGTAGGCTAGCTTGATAACCGTGTTAGAACCTACACCGAAACGTAGCTCCTAATTGTAATAAAGAAGTTGTTCATCCATGTATCTTATCCTTACTTACTTCACTATAATAAGGGGGCACGGGTACCGCAATTCGCTGTGCAGTGTTGTGTCCCTTGGGCACGCCAGAAACCTATGATTGTGGGTACGAATCCCTGATTATGTTTCTAGGTTTGTCAGCACCATACCCGTGATCGAGGGTTTCATCGAAGTGATAAACGTCTAAGACCTGCATCACTACAAGCTTTCCCACATTAAGCTGACATGCCGAGATACGAGGGGTGTTCATTAAAGATTTCCCCTAAACCACTTAGGGTTATCATATTTGGTTGAAATTTCACATGTGTAATGATACATGTATCTATGGGTTATGTCTGAATTTGCAGCACCGAACTATTAATCTTACCACCTTTACAGGTGTTATAATCGAGTAGGGTGTGACAATGGACCCAGTAGAATACCGAGCAGTGATTAGGTTTTTATATTTGAAAGGTCGCACACCAAAAGAAACTTTCGATGAAATGTAAGCAACTTATGGGGAAGATGCCCCATCATATGACGTTGTTAAACACTGGCATCGACAGTTCAAGTGTGGTCGGACATCTGTGGAAACAGCTGCCATTCCTGGTCGCCCCCATTCAGCCATTGATGAGGACACTATCCATCAAGTGGAGACCGCCATTTTGGCAGAACGACGTATAACTGTTCGCCAGTTAGCACAAGATGTCAAGATCAGTGTAGGGTCTGTGGAAAAAATCATCCATGACAATTTGAACATGCATAAGGTGTCTGCACGATGGATTCCCAGGTTGCTCACACCTTTCCAAAAGCAGGAACGAGTCAATTGCTCAAAGGATCTTTTGGACATGTGCCAAAAAAAACAGGCAAACTTTTTTGACAGACTTATCACACAGGATGAAACATGGGTCCATCACTATGATCCTGAGACTAAAGTTCAGTCGATGCAATGGAAGCATGTGGAGTCACCACCCCAAAAGAAGGCACGTGTCCAACCCTCTGCAGGCAAGGTCATGCTCAAGGTGTTTTGGGACCAGCACGGAGTAGTGATGATGGATTTCTTGGCAAAGGGTACCACAATTACAGGAGCTTATTATGCTTCACTGCTGCGGAAATTGCGGGACGCTATCAAGCTTAAGAGGCGTGGCATGCTGACCAAGGGTGTCTGTCTCCTACAAGACAATGCTCCAGTACACAACTCTCATGTTGCCCAGACAGAAGCGCGGTCCTGTGGCTATGAAATCCTTCCACATCCTCCTTACTCTCCTGACCTTGCACCATCTGACTTCCACCTCTTTCCAACCATGAAGTCATTTTTGAAGGGAAAACGTTTCACAGATGATGAAACACTGATTTCTGAAGTCAAGTCCTGGTTTGAGACGCAAAATGAGGGCTTTTACAAGCGAGGTCTCCATAGTTGCATAAAACGATGGGAGAAGTGTGTAACTCTTGGTGGTTCCTATGTGGAGAAAGACTAATACCTATGCCAATTGTCATTCCACTAGGTCCATCGGAAGTGGGTCAGGGGAAATCTTTAATGAACATCCTTGTATAACTGGAATACTGTTGAAAGCGGCGTTAAACCCAACTCACTCACTCACTCATTCACTATGATAATCACATTGGACACATTGCCGCCACTACCCACCTTCTCTTTCACACAGGAATGAAGATCTCTGCCACGGGAGTCAGGGCGGCATGTCACCTCACAAACAAGTCTTTCATTTTCCTTCACTTCAATTGTGTAGAACTCTGCAAAACATTTGGTATCAGCTAAATGTTCCTGCAAAACATTTTGGTCATTTCAGTACAATAAATGAGTGAGAGTAAATCTCCTTACCATTAACTTGACCTTGCTCAGTAAAACTACTTGAGAAGCAACAACTGCCACGTCGCGGGATTGTACAAGAACATCTTGCAGTGGCTGATATTGAATGACAACCATTTTTCACAGAAATCTGAATGACCTTGATCTTTTACATTTTATGACTTAAGATAATGCAAACATAAAGATGCATATAGGTAGATCTGTCTTAGAAATGTGTCATCAATAAAACCATGTTTAGCAATGACAACCTTTGTGACTCAAACCTTACAATGTACTAAGGCCATCTTATAGAGAAAGTTTTTTTAATTCGTTGGGAAAAGCATCAATATTTTTCTTGGAAAATGTAACTACAAATGGTATAGATAGCAAAGCTAACGTCATGACTCTAAACTTTGTCATGTCATGATTCAAAAATATTTCCTTGGGCCATCTGGATGAAGTTCTCCGTAGGATATTCTTTATGGTGCTAATCACTATGTAACCTTCGGCAATGTATCGAAACCTCATTGCACTCCAACTGAGGTCCATTCCACAAAGGGATCGTATTGATAGACTGTGGTAAGTCTATACTAGAGTATAGTACATGTATAAACTGACAACAAACGTTGCACTATGACCATCTAACTCCTATACTTTAATATAAACTGACAACAAACGTAGCACTATGACCTACTAACTCCTTTACTTTAATATAAACTGACGACAAACGTAGCACTATGACCATCTTCTTATACTTTAATATAAACTGACAACAAACGTAGCACTATGACAATCTAACTCCTATACTTTAACAAAGACTTACGACAAACGTAGCACTATGACTATCTAACTCCTATACTTTAATATAAACTGACGACAAATGTAGCACTATGACCATCTAACTCCTATACTTTAATATAAACTGACAACAAACGTAGCACTATGACAAACTGATGACAAACGTAGCACTATGACCATCTAACTCCTATACTTTAATATAAACTGATGACAAACGTAGCACTATGAACTACTAACTCCTATACTTTAATATAAACTGACGACAAACGTAGCACTATGACCATCTAACTCCTATACTTTAATATAAACTGACAACAAACGTAGCACTATGACCATCTAACTCCTATACTTTAACAAAGACTTACGACAAACGTAGCACTATGACTATCTAACTCCTATACTTTAATATAAACTGACGACAAACGTAGCACTATGACCATCTAACTCCTATACTTTAATATAAACTGACGACAAACGTAGCACTATGACCTACTAACTCCTATACTTTAATATAAACTGACAACAAACGTAGCACTATGACAATCTAACTCCTATACTTTAACAAAGACTTACGACAAACGTAGCACTATGACTATCTAACTCCTATACTTTAATATAAACTGACGACAAACGTAGCACTATGACCATCTAACTCCTATACTTTAATATAAACTGACGACAAACGTAGCACTATGACCATCTAACTCCTATACTTTAATATAAACTGACGACAAACGTAGCACTATGACCATCTAACTCCTATACTTTAATATAAACTGACAACAAACGTAGCACTATAACCATCTTCTTATACTTTAATATAAACTGACGACAAACATAGCACTATGACCATCTAACTCCTATACTTTAATATAAACTGACGACAAACGTAGCACTATGACCATCTAACTCCTATACTTTAATATAAACTGACAACAAACGTAGCACTATAACCATCTAACTCCTATACTTAAACATAGACTTACGACAAACATAGCACTATGACTATCTAACTCCTATACTTTAATATAAACTGACGACAAACGTAGCACTATGACCATCTAACTCCTATACTTTAACAAAGACTTACGACAAACGTAGCACTATGACTATCTAACTCCTATACTTTAATATAAACTGACGACAAACGTAGCACTATGACCATCTAACTCCTATACTTTAATATAAACTGACGACAAACATAGCACTATGACCATCTAACTCCTATACTTTAATATAAACTGACGACAAACGTAGCACTATGACCATCTAACTCCTATACTTTAATATAAACTGACAACAAACGTAGCACTATAACCATCTAACTCCTATACTTAAACATAGACTTACGACAAACATAGCACTATGACTATCTAACTCCTATACTTTAATATAAACTGACGACAAACGTAGCACTATGACCATCTAACTCCTATACTTTAATATAAACTGACAACAAACGTAGCACTATAACCATCTAACTCCTATACTTAAACATAGACTTACGACAAACATAGCACTATGACCATCTAACTCCTATACTTTAATATAAACTGACGACAAACGTAGCACTATGACCATCTAACTCCTATACTTTAATATAAACTGACAACAAACGTAGCACTATGACCATCTAACTCCTATACTTAAACATAGACTTACGACAAACATAGCACTATGACTATCTAACTCCTATACTTTAATATAAACTGACAACAAACGTAGCACTATGACCTACTAACTCCTTTACTTTAATATAAACTGACGACAAACGTAGCACTATGACCATCTAACTCCTATACTTTAATATAAACTTACGACAAACATAGCACTATGACTATCTAACTCCTATACTTTAATATAAACTGACAACAAACGTAGCACTATGACCTACTAACTCCTTTACTTTAATATAAACTGACGACAAACGTAGCACTATGACCATCTAACTCCTATACTTTAATATAAACTGACAACAAACGTAGCACTATGACCATCTAACTCCTATACTTAAACATAGACTTACGACAAACATAGCACTATGACTATCTAACTCCTATACTTTAATATAAACTGACGACAAACGTAGCACTATGACCATCTAACTCCTATACTTTAATATAAACTGACAACAAACGTAGCACTATGACCATCTAACTCCTATACTTAAACATAGACTTACGACAAACATAGCACTATGACTATCTAACTCCTATACTTTAATATAAACTGACAACAAACGTAGCACTATGACCTACTAACTCCTTTACTTTAATATAAACTGACGACAAACGTAGCACTATGACCATCTAACTCCTATACTTTAATATAAACTGACAACAAACGTAGCACTATGACAATCTAACTCCTATACTTTAACAAAGACTTACGACAAACGTAGCACTATGACTATCTAACTCCTATACTTTAATATAATCTGACGACAAACGTAGCACTATGACCATCTAACTCCTATACTTTAATATAAACTGACAACAAACGTAGCATTATGACCATCTAACTCCTATACTTTAATATAAACTGACAACAAACGTAGCACTATAACCATCTAACTCCTATACTTAAACATAGACTTACGACAAACATAGCACTATGACCATCTAACTCCTATACTTAAACATAGACTTTCGACAAACGTAGCACTATGACCATCTAACTCCTATACTTTAATATAAACTGACGACAAACATAGCACTATGACCATCTAACTCCTATACTTTAATATAAACTGACGACAAATGAAGCACTATGACCATCTAACTCATAAACTTTAATATAAACTGACGACAAACGTAGCAATATGACCATCTAACTCCTATACTTTAATATAAACTGACGACAAACGTAGCACTATGACCATCTAACTCCTATACTTTAATATAAACTGACGACAAATGAAGCACTATGACCATCTAACTCATAAACTTTAATATAAACTGACGACAAACGTAGCAATATGACCATCTAACTCCTATACTTTAATATAAACTGACGACAAACATAGCACTATGACCATCTAACTCCTATACTTTAATATAAACTGACGACAAACGTAGCACTATGACCATCTAACTCCTATACTTTAATATAAACTGACAACAAACGTAGCACTATGACTATCTAACTCCTATACTTAAACATAGACTTACGACAAACATAGCACTATGACTATCTAACTCCTATACTTTAATATAAACTGACGACAAACGTAGCACTATGACCATCTAACTCCTATACTTTAATATAAACTGACGACAAACGTAGCACTATGACTATCTAACTCCTATACTTTAATATAAACTTACGACAAACATAGCACTATGACTATCTAACTCCTATACTTTAATATAAACTGACAACAAACGTAGCACTATGACCATCTAACTCCTATACTTTAATATAAACTGACGACAAACGTAGCACTATGACCATCTAACTCCTATACTTTAATATAAACTGACAACAAACGTAGCACTATGACAAACTGATGACAAACGTAGCACTATGACCATCTAACTCCTATACTTTAATATAAACTGACAACAAACGTAGCACTATGACAAACTGACGACAAACGTAGCACTATGACCATCTAACTCCTATACTTTAATATAAACTGACGACAAACGTAGCACTAGGACCATCTAACTCCTATACTTTAACAAAGACTTACGACAAACGTAGCACTAGGACCATCTAACTCCTATACTATAATATAAACTGACAACAAACGTAGCACTATGACTATCTAACTCCTATACTTTAATATAAACTGACGACAAACGTAGCACTAGGACCATCTAACTCCTATACTTTAATATAAACTGACAACAATCGTAGCACTATGACCATCTAACTCCTATACTTTAATATAAACTGACGACAAACGTAGCACTAGGACCATCTAACTCCTATACTTAAACATAGACTTACGACAAACATAGCACTATGACTATCTAACTCCTATACTTTAATATAAACTGACGACAAACGTAGCACTAGGACCATCTAACTCCTATACTTTAATATAAACTGACGACAAACGTAGCACTAGGACCATCTAACTCCTATACTTTAATATAAACTGACAACAAACGTAGCACTATGACTATCTAACTCCTATACTTAAACATAGACTTACGACAAACATAGCACTATGACCATCTAACTCCTATACTTTAATATAAACTGACAACAAACGTAGCACTATGACAAACTGATGACAAACGTAGCACTATGACCATCTAACTCCTATACTTTAATATAAACTGATGACAAACGTAGCACTATGACTATCTAACTCCTATACTTTAATATAAACTGATGACAAACGTAGCACTATGACCATCTAACTCCTATACTTTAATATAAACTGACAACAAACGTAGCACTATGACAAACTGATGACAAACGTAGCACTATGACAAACTGATGACAAACGTAGCACTATGACCATCTAACTCCTATACTTTAATATAAACTGATGACAAACGTAGCACTATGACTATCTAACTCCTATACTTTAATATAAACTGACGACAAACGTAGCACTATGACCATCTAACTCCTATACTTTAATATAAACTGACAACAAACGTAGCACTATGACCATCTAACTCCTATACTTTAATATAAACTGACGACAAACGTAGCACTATGACCATCTAACTCCTATACTTTAATATAAACTGACAACAAACGTAGCACTATGACAAACTGATGACAAACGTAGCACTATGACCATCTAACTCCTATACTTTAATATAAACTGATGACAAACGTAGCACTATGACTATCTAACTCCTATACTTTAATATAAACTGACAACAAACGTAGCACTATGACAAACTGATGACAAACGTAGCACTATGACCATCTTCTTATACTTTAATATAAACTGACGACAAACGTAGCACTATGACCATCTAACTCCTATACTTTAATATAAACTGACGACAAACGTAGCACTATGACTATCTAACTCCTATACTTTAATATAAACTGACGACAAACGTAGCACTATGACCATCTAACTCCTATACTTTAATATAAACTGACAACAAACGTAGCATTATGACCATCTAACTCCTATACTTTAATATAAACTGACAACAAACGTAGCACTATAACCATCTAACCCCTATATTTTAACAAAGACTTACGACAAACGTGGCACTATGACCATCTAACTCCTATACTTTAATATAGATTTAGACAGACAAAGCATTATGACTATGTTAAAGTATAGGAGTTGGTCAGTGGTAGCGCTATGTCTGTCATAAGTCTATGTTAAAGTATAGGAGTTGGTCAGTGGTAGAGCTATGTCTGTCGTAAGTCTATGTTAAAGTATAGGAGTTGGTCAGTGGTAGAGCTATGTCTGTCGTAAGTCTATGTTAAAGTAAAGGAGTTGGTCAGTGGTAGCGCTATGTCTGTCGTAAGTCTATGTTAAAGTATAGGAGTTGGTCAGTGGTAGAGATATGTCTGTCGTAAGTCTATGTTTAAGTATAGGAGTCGGTCAGTTGTAGCGCTATGTCTGTCATAAGTCTATCTTAAAGTATAGGAGTTGGTCAGTGGTAGCGCTATGTCTGCCGTAAGTCTATGTTAAAGCATAGGAGTTGGTCAGTGGTAGCCTTATGTCTGTCGTAAGTCTATGTTAAAGTATAGGAGTTGGTCAGTGGTAGAGCTATGTCTGTCGTAAGTCCATGTTAAAGTATAGGATTTGGTCATTGGTAGAGCTATGTCTGTCGTAAGTCTATGTGAAAGCATAGGAGTTGGTCAGTGGTAGTGCTATGTCTGTCGTAAGTCTATGTTAAAGTATAGGAGTCGGTCAGTGGTAGCGCTATGTCTGTCGTAAGTCTATGTTAAAGCATAGGAGTTGGTCAGTGGTAGCGCTATGTCTGTCGTAAGTCTATGTTAAAGTATAGGAGTTGGTAAGTGGTAGCGCTATGTCTGTCGTAAGTCTATGTGAAAGTATAGGAGTTGGTCAGTGGTAGAGCTATGTCTGTCGTAAGTCTATGTTAAAGTATAGGAGTTGGTCAGTGGTAGAGCTATGTCTGTCGTAAGTCTATGTTAAAGTATAGGAGTTGGTCAGTGGTAGCCTTATGTCTGTCGTAAGTCTATGTTAAAGTATAGGAGTTGGTCAGTGGTAGAGCTATGTCTGTCGTAAGTCTATATTAAAGTATAGGAGTTGGTCAGTGGTAGAGCTATGTCTGTCGTAAGTCTATATTAAAGTATAGGAGTTGGTCAGTGGTAGAGCTATGTCTGTCGTAAGTCTATCTTAAAGTATAGGAGTTGGTCAGTGGTAGAGCTATGTCTGTCGTAAGTCTATATTAAAGTATAGGAGTTGGTCAGTGGTAGAGCTATGTCTGTCGTAAGTCTATATTAAAGTATAGGAGTTGGTAAGTGGTAGCGCTATGTCTGTCATAAGTCTATGTGAAAGCATAGGAGTTGGTCAGTGGTAGTGCTATGTCTGTCGTAAGTCTATGTTAAAGTATAGGAGTCGGTCAGTGGTAGCGCTATGTCTGTCGTAAGTCTATCTTAAAGCATAGGAGTTGGTCAGTGGTAGTGCAAAACCAAGTCACAAGACCAATCTGACCCCATCCACCCCCACCCCATCCCAATAATAAATGACTGGTCCCTTATGCATAAATTTCCATGAAGAATAAAGATGCTTAGAGTTTGGGACATATCGAAATAAAGAAGTGGTGCAGCTTAACTATTTTCCAGGTGTATATTAACTAACATGGGGTTTGCCTTACCTTCTGGGTATGTGGGCCCAGGATTGCAAAGGATCCCAAGATTATTTTCCTCTGTCTCCGCAATATCTGAAGAAGTGAATTGTTGAGTCTTCAACACACATCCAATTCAATCTTATGATCATTAGACACAAAATGAAGTAAAGTGTGGCTGTGTAGTGCTCATTAGTGTGAAAAATTGTCAGGTTTAACAAATCTCCATTCTATAAAAGTTTCATAAACATAATAATATGTTTACTCTTATAAGGTCGGGAATGTTTTTTGTCTGCCTTGGTGACGCCATGGTTCAAACTATGTCTGTCGTAAGTCTATGTTAAAGTATAGGAGTTGGTCAGTGGTAGAGCTATGTCTGTCGTAAGTCTACTTTAAAGTATAGGAGTTGGTCAGTGGTAGAGCTATGTCTGTCGTAAGTCTATGTTAAAGTATAGGAGTTGGTCAGTGGTAGAGCTATGTCTGTCGTAAGTCTATATTAAAGTATAGGAGTTGGTCAGTGGTAGAGCTATGTCTGTCGTAAGTCTATATTAAAGTATAGGAGTTGGTCAGTGGTAGCGCTATGTCTGTCGTAAGTCTATGTTAAAGTATAGGAGTTGGTCAGTGGTAGAGCTATGTCTGTCGTAAGTCTATCTTAAAGTATAGGAGTTGGTCAGTGGTAGAGCTATGTCTGTCGTAAGTCTATATTAAAGTATAGGAGTTGGTCAGTGGTAGCGCCATGTCTGTCATAAGTCTATGTGAAAGCATAGGAGTTGGTCAGTGGTAGTGCTATGTCTGTCGTAAGTCTATGTTAAAGTATAGGAGTCGGTCAGTGGTAGCGCTATGTCTGTCGTAAGTCTATGTAAAGCATAGGAGTTGGTCAGTGGTAGCGCTAAGTCTGTCGTAAGTCTATGTTAAAGTATAGGAGTTGGTAAGTGGTAGCGCTATGTCTGTCGTAAGTCTATGTTAAAGAATAGGAGTTGGTAAGTGGTAGCGCTATGTCTGTCGTAAGTCTATGTTAAAGTATAGGAGTTGGTAAGTGGTAGCGCTATGCTTGTCGTAAGTCTATGTTAAAGAATAGGAGTTGGTAAGTGGTAGCGCTATGTCTGTCGTATGTCTATGTTAAAGAATAGGAGTTGGTAAGTGGTAGCGCTATGTCTGTCGTAAGTCTATGTTAAAGCATAGGAGTTGGTCAGTGGTAGTGCAAAACCAAGTCACAAGACCAATCTGACCCCATCCACCCCCACCCCATCCCAATAATAAATGACTGGTCCCTTATGCATAAATTTCCATGAAGAATAAAGATGCTTAGAGTTTGGGACATATCGAAATAAAGAAGTGGTGCAGCTTAACTATTTTCCAGGTGTATATTAACTAACATGGAGTTTGCCTTACCTTCTGGGTATGTGGGCCCAGGATTGCAAGGGATCCCAAGATTATTTTCCTCTGTCTCCACAATATCTGAAGAAGTGAATTGTTGAGTCTTCAACACACATCCAATTCAATCTTATGATCATTAGACACAAAATGAAGTAAAGTGTGGCTGTGTAGTGCTCATTAGTGTGAAAAATTGTCAGGTTTAACAAATCTCCATTCTATAAAAGTTTCATAAACATAATAATATGTTTACTCTTAAAAGGTCGGGAATGTTTTTTGTCTGCCTTGGTGACGCCATGGTTCAAACTATGTCTGTCGTAAGTCTATGTTAAAGTATAGGAGTTGGTCAGTGGTAGAGCTATGTCTGTCGTAAGTCTATGTTAAAGTATAGGAGTTGGTCAGTGGTAGAGCTATGTCTGTCGTAAGTCTATATTAAAGTATAGGAGTTGGTCAGTGGTAGAGCTATGTCTGTCGTAAGTCTATATTAAAGTATAGGAGTTGGTCAGTGGTAGCGCTATGTCTGTCGTAAGTCTATGTTAAAGTATAGGAGTTGGTCAGTGGTAGAGCTATGTCTGTCGTAAGTCTATCTTAAAGTATAGGAGTTGGTCAGTGGTAGAGCTATGTCTGTCGTAAGTCTATATTAAAGTATAGGAGTTGGTCAGTGGTAGCGCTATGTCTGTCATAAGTCTATGTGAAAGCATAGGAGTTGGTCAGTGGTAGTGCTATGTCTGTCGTAAGTCTATGTTAAAGTATAGGAGTTGGTCAGTGGTAGCGCTATGTCTGTCATAAGTCTATGTGAAAGCATAGGAGTTGGTCAGTGGTAGCGCTATGTCTGTCGTAAGTCTATGTTAAAGCATAGGAGTTGGTCAGTGGTAGCGCTATGTCTGTCGTAAGTCTATGTTAAAGTATAGGAGTTGGTAAGTGGTAGCGCTATGTCTGTCGTAAGTCTATGTTAAAGAATAGGAGTTGGTAAGTGGTAGCGCTATGTCTGTCGTAAGTCTATGTTAAAGTATAGGAGTTGGTAAGTGGTAGCGCTATGCCTGTCGTAAGTCTATGTTAAAGAATAGGAGTTGGTAAGTGGTAGCGCTATGTCTGTCGTAAGTCTATGTTAAAGCATAGGAGTTGGTCAGTGGTAGTGCAAAACCAAGTCACAAGACCAATCTGACCCCATCCACCCCCACCCCATCCCAATAATAAATGACTGGTCCCTTATGCATAAATTTCCATGAAGAATAAAGATGCTTAGAGTTTGGGACATATCGAAATAAAGAAGTGGTGCAGCTTAACTATTTTCCAGGTGTATATTAACTAACTTGGAGTTTGCCTTACCTTCTGGGTATGTGGGCCCAGGATTGTAAGGGATCCCAAGATTATTTTCCTCTGTCTCCGCAATATCTGAAGAAGTGAATTGTTGAGTCTTCAACACACATCCAATTCAATCTTATGATCATTAGACACAAAATGAAGTAAAGTGTGGCTGTTTAGTGCTCATTAGTGTGAAAAATTGTCAGGTTTAACAAATCTCCATTCTATAAAAAGTTTCATAAACATAATAATATGTTTACTCTTATAAGGTCCAGAATATTTTCAGTCTGCCTTGGTGACGCCATGGTTCAAATTGAAATAAGTCATAAGCAACATAACAAAAAGAATTTTCTTAACATGTTTATCTTATCTCCATCAAAAAGAGTTGACCAAAATATTAGCTTCATCTCCAGTATTAGAATACATGTGACCTAACTCCATCACAAAGACCTGTGAAGATCTGGACTGGAATAGGTCTTCAGCAACCCTTGCTTGCCGAAAAAGGTGACAATGCTTGTAGTAAGAGGCAACTAACGGGATCGAGTGGTCAAGCTTGCTGACTAGGTTGATGCCCTTTATTTTGGTGGACAATTGTCATTTTTTTCAATCTCATTAAAATCAGATCTTAGTTCTCGCTACCGCTGAAGAAAGATCTGAGGACATCCCATTACGTCACGTCACGTCAGAACGACCTTTCGTTAATTTTGACCGACCAATGAAATTACTGACAAGAAATCGACATAAGCCAATCAGAAGGCAGCTTTCTCCAGCTTTACAACACTGGTTTCAAACTGGTGACGACTTTCGAAACATATTTTGACGTATTCTCGATTAAAAATGTTAAAACTGATAAGAAGAACGTTCTGGAATGTCTTATAGATAGAATACCCCGTGTTAAATATTTCGTGGTTGCATGATCAGAAAACACATTCCGACTGTCACTTTTACGATCTGGTAAGCGATGCTCTGATTGGTTGGATGAAAGGTCATTCAGACTTGACCAGTAATAGATGTCCTCAGATCTTTGTTTAGAGATAGCGAGAACTAAGATCTGATTTGAATGAGATTGCATTTTTTTCAACAGCAAGCAGCACAATTATTTTTTGTAAGCATTTTCTGTGATAAAATCTTTACGGTGAAATTCCAGAGTTATATCTGAGAATATCAAACTGTCGGTCCTTGACATCTTTCACAAGCTTGGAAGAAAGGAGCTTTCAATAACACCTGACCCACGAATATCCGGGGTAGAATAGGTCTTCAGCAACCCATGCTTGTCGTTAAAGGCGTCGTCATAAGAGGCGACTAACAGGATGGCTGACTTGGTTGATGCATGTCATCGATCCCAATTACGTGGATCAATGCTCATGATATCAATCACTGGATTGTCTGGTCCAGGCTCGATTATTTACAGACAGGCGTCATATAGCTTGAATATTGCTGAGTGCGGCGTTAAACAACAAACCAACCAACCAATCAATAACACCTACAATTCAATCCAGTCGGTGGACCTGACAAGACGTCAGATATAGTCTGTCTCCCACTGTCCGATAAATGATCTGAGGGAGGTTTTGGAGGCAGCACTACTCCTTCGTCTTCTCCTTCGTCTTCTCCTCCCTCTTCTCCATTGTCTGAAGACCCCTCCAAGATCTCGGCACTTGGTAAGTTCACTGTGCTTGGTCCATCAGACACGGGTGGCCTTGGAACTGTTGGTTCTGGGGTTCTGCGATACTGATCAACAGGTGGCGCTGTGCCTTGTGGATGGTAATACCAGTTTTCCAATGGAGGTTCTGTGAACATGAAACATGCAGAAAAACACAACTTTCCGATACGAAAATCAATGTAGATGAATGTTGCTGTGATTTCCAAAATATCAGGGACTTCAGGACAAATCTAGTATTAGCAACAGGGTTAGAAATTACTTGTATTTCAGTGCTGATCATAGTGGCAAGTAGGGATGCAACGAATACACTAAGAGGCGAATACAACTCCTATCACAAATACAGGGTAACAAATACGAATATTACTTCACGAATTCAATAACCAATCCGCAGTTGATGTATTATTTGTTATATTCAGTGAAACAATAACAAAAAAAATTATTTGATAGGTTTGTTAATTCTTAATATATTATACATTTATATACTGCACTTGTCCAGGTACTAGTATCTGGTCAAAAGTGACAATGACCAGTGACCACAATACTGTCAAATTAAATATTATAAGAGTGGTGTCTTTGAAGAAATCTAGGCATATAACATGTTCTCATTGATATCTTTAAGTACAGGGTATGTAAATGCACATGATTGCATATTCATAAATATTTGATTCTAGTGGCCACAAATAACGAATTCAGTTTATGAATGGATACGGTTTGATTCACCGAATACGCGAGTGAATTGTAACAGCCCTGTTGCCAAGGTTACAAGATGTTCCAGGGAACACTTCAAAATCATAGTTGATAATATCAATACCTTGTGTTATTTATTTTTATGAAGCCAGTGGAAAATGTTCATCTACACAAATATATGTGACAAACACATGGAGAAGATCAACATATCAACTAATAAACATTCATGGGATTCACCCGTGAAGATCCCGGGTAGAATAGGTCTTCAGCAACCCATGCTTGCCACAGGAGGCAACTATGCTTGTCGTAAGAGGCGACTAACGGGTTGGGTGGTCAGGCTCGCTGACTTGGTTGATGTCATCATATCCAAATTGTGTGGATCGATGCTCATGATGTCAATCACTGAATTATCTGGTCCAGACTCGATTATTACAGACCGCCGTCATAAAGCTGGAATATTGCGTAGTATGGCTTTAAACAACAAACGAACAAACAAAATCATGGGATTCAGAAGTTGAAAAGAGTATTATCCATCACTCAACAAAACAAGGGGGGGTTGTTGATTGTCAATACACTCAATTAGGTGATTAAGATGCAGCTTTTGGTATTGGTCTGAACGTACACACAATGCCATTTAGAAAGTGGTCAAATGTAACAAATGTTATAAGTGTTGTCCTAAATATGACATTTGTTACTTTCGGTATTGGGCTTTGAAGGACTGGATTATACCAGCATCTAGAGACTGAAGATGGCTGGTCGTTGTTGGACGCAGGAAGTTGACCTGGACATGTGACAACTCCTCAGGGACCACGTGGCTCGGGGCATTGTCTGACATAAACAGCACATGGTGGTAAGCTCTTCTCCATTTGTTAAAGCCGTTTTTATCCACTCCGCAAATATTACACCAGTCATCCATGCTTTTTTTTATTTAGCATCATATTCTACATAACGTATATGACGGACGTGTTTGAAACATCTTGGCTTACAAGATTTGCCATTTACAAAGGAGATAAGCTTCTCACTGTGAAGACCACGCCCCAGTCTGAGCTCGGGGGAAACAAGAATTGCAGTTACATCTGCTATCTGTCGTAGATCTCCTAAAGCCAAGAGATGCAATAGCGAAGGCCAAACTAACTCTATTTCTGAGAGATGGATAGCTACTCAAACGTATATAAACACAGCAGCCAAAGATATTAAATAAAATCATATCAATATACAAAAATTGAAATCTCAGACCGGAAGAAATGTATTCCCCTCCAAGGTGGGATACACAGCATTTAATCAAGATCACGTGGACCAGTCAGATCTCATCAGTCTGATATGATAATGAGTAATGTGTAAAAATATCCATTTATAGAGAGAAATGAGTTTCCTCAGGCCGGTCATTTAGAAAAGGAGTGAAACTCATTTCCAGTGAAACAAGTCTATTAGTCTATTATTACGAGTCTATTAGTCTATTATTACGAGTCTATTAGTCTATTATTACAAGTCTATTAAGAAAACTGGTATTATAAGCAGGAAATTGTAACATTTGTTCTGAGAAAGGTTGGTGGTGGCGTTATCACCAGTTTGGCATTGTTTCCAGGGAGTTTTAATGGTGGGAAAATCAGTTCTGGCAGCCTTATGTGTTATTACCAGAGCCATAATAACCAGGGCTGACTGTACATAAAAGTTGGTTGTTTTGTTGGTTTGTTGTTTAACGCCGCACTCAGCAATATTCCAGCTATATGACAGCGGTCTGTTAATAATCGAGTCTGGACCAGACAATCCAATGATTGAGATCATGAGCATCGTTCCACGCAATTGGGATACGATGACATGCATCAACCAAGTCAGCGAGCCTGACCACCCGATCCCGTTAGTCGCCTCTTACGACAAGCATAGTAGCCTTTTACGGCAAGCATGGGTTGCTGGTGACCTATTCTACCCCCGATCTTCACGGTCCTGTACATAAAAGAAATAACTTGTCATGTATCCCTCCCTCCCCCTCACCTCCGTGACTGTAGTATTTCTGTAAGAGCTCATCCACAGATAATCTCTCCTCTTGAGGATACTGTGTCATGTCTGATATCATGTCCCTCAGCGATGTTGGAATTACCATGTCACGGAGAATATCGTCCACAGGGAACTCTCCGATGGCAATCTGTAAGCCAGAGAAATATAAGGGTGTGGGCAGAAAGTAGGGCTGGGACGGGTAACTCGGGTACCAGGGTCGGGTGGGTACTGAGTAGGACCCGTTTACCCACAGGACTACCCGGACCCGTGGTTAGTCATGTGATATATTGTTTAATGACAGTCAACGTCAGTGAATGCATGACCTGATTGTTTGATGCATGTATCTAAATAGTTTTAGCTAGGGCTGCGGTAAAACAATTACTAATCAGACATTTTGTTCCCAACTCTTGAAGTATCACAGATAATTTGGGTTACATTAATTACATGTTAATACTTTAGATACAGGTATAATGCTATGGTTAAATTAGAATATTAAGGTGGGGGAGTGTTGTTAGATACTGTCAGGTAATACTATGGGAACAGGTTAGATTCCATCTTCCCGAGGCAAGAGAGTTAACTGACTTTAAAAGTCCAGTTTCCACCCTTGCCGAACTAGGCTGGAATTACTGGGCTCGATCGTAGCACCACCAGTGGCTATTACCAGTTATGTCCCTTCTAAGCCTCTCCTATGGACCAATCAGATTCCACCTCTCGCATCACTTGCGTTTGTTGCACACAAAATGGTGGCGCCGAGTCAGGACGATCTGATCGATAATCAAGATCTATATTGTGATAAAACGGGTCTTACATCGCGAAATGCATCAAATCACGTGAGCACCTTGATTAAAAACATGAAAAGATTTGGAAAATATCTGCTGACTACGAGTTGGCGGTGCACATGCTTTGCAAATCCTGCAATCGACCGAAATCTGCACGACAGTTTACGAACCTGATTTCGATTTCGGTGCGCGATTTTGATTGGACTATGCATAGACTCGTTAGTCCAGCCAAAATATAACTCCATAATACCAGCCTAGATAGGCAAGGGTGGAAACTGGACTTTTATAGTCAGTTAACTCTCTTGCCTCGCGAAGATGGTTAGATTCAGGGAAGCGTGACTGGGTACAGCTGATAGCTGTGGAGTTATTGGACTGACAATAAGCCGACCCCGTAGATAAGCCGAGGTATTAACTTGACCATTGAAATATGAACGAAAATGATATGACCCGAAGATAAGCCGAACCAAGAAGTGAAAGGTAAAAACACTGGGATGTCAGACTGCAAGACATGTGCCGGTACTCGCAGATATTCAATAATATAAGATGAAAAAAGTTGTAATTATATTGATAAAGTCATTATTATTGCTAATAAAGATTTAACAAGCCAGTCATCCACTCTCCTAATCTGGGAAGCTGATAGTTGTCTTTTCTTAATCTCATAATGATCGTTAGATGTTGCCATCAACAACGAAGCGCCATTTTGTGAATCGGTGTATATAGAATTATGATTGGGTAATGGTGGTCAGTTTAAATGGTTTCATCCCGATCGGTCAATTATATATGTAGCAGGGTAGTTAGTTACCTTTATTATATTATTGCTATTAACATCATTATTCATACATCGTCATCATCATCATCATCATCATCATCATCATGTTCATTGTTTGTCTTGTCTACAGTTGCATGTTAGTTAATTACTCTTAAGTACTTAACACACTTATTTTCCGTCTCTGAGAATCTCTCAGTATTTATATGCATACTTGTATATGTAATGTCATTCTTGTAATATTTGCATTTATAGTTATATTTTCCATTGCTAAAGTTAGCAAAATATTAAAACGATGCAAGATTTATCAAGTTCAAGGTCACATTCATTAATATCTCACTTTACCGAAATGCCCAAATTGTTAAAAAAAGGTCCAAATGATTTGCAGCCATGTTTGTGTACAGGACGACTGACACATGAGTGAGGCACCGACCAGTTGATACTTAGGGCAAGGGGTGGGGCAGATTTAAAAAATATATATGAAATATTGTGCGCCATGCAAATTGTGAATCATGACATTATTTAATTTCAGAATAAGTATATTTTTATTGAACTCCTAATGAAGCATAGTTATTGGTTTCCTTCAGTAGATGATGAATAAGAATATCATCACAGTTACATTCACTTATTAAACAATTCCAAATCTGAGGATGCAGCCAAACACACCTGATGTAGAATTCCAGGCAGGTAGATTTGTTGTCTGTCAGTTCCAAAATATGGTATTCTCCCCGACACAGCACTCAACATGGTACAACCGAGGCTGAACACATCAGTCTTGTAGTCATGATCTGAAAATATTGAACATTAGCAAAGGGTCGGAATCTTTTAATATTGAGCCAGACATTGAGAAAAAGCACAGTAAAGTTCGAACACAAAAGTCTTCTAAATATTTTTCTCTCCCGCGTGGAGGTATAAAACTGGATTTGACTTTCACTATTTTTCTTATTGTCTGCGTCATCATCCCATTCAACGTCGTTGTCTTCTTCAGGTTCAAAATATTCAGTCTCAGTTTTCGAGAAAAATGAAAAAACATTATCCATGGTTCAACGATACCTGCCTATTTTGAATCAAAGTACTCAAAAGGGGAAAATATTGAGCAAATACAAAATTATCAACAACCAAAGACACCCCAAAAGTCTGGTTTGATGCCACTTGTAGCAATATTCCAGCAATATCACGGCAGGGGATGTCAAAATGGGATTCACACATTGTACCCATGTGGAGAATCAAACCTGGGACTCTGGTGTGACGAGCTAACGCTTAAACCACTAGGCTACCCCATCTCACTCAGGGATGAGGACATGCCATACGTAAGAGGTGACTTACAGGATCCGGTGGTCAGGCTCGCTGACTTGGTCGATGCATGTCATCGATCTCAATTGCATGGGTCGATGCTCATGATGTCAATCACTGTATTGTCTGGTCCAGACTTGATTTGTTTACAGAATGCTGCATATACATAGCTGGAATATTGCTAAGTGCGGCGTTAAACAACAAACAAACAAACAAACAAACCATACTGTGTAAGACATAATATCCAACGATTTGATACAACGATATTTTTTAAAATCTTTAATGTTCCCCGAACATTGTGTGATTCCTTCTTATCCCACCTTATTCAAACAGTAAACACTTACGTTCGCCTCGTGCAACCTCAGGAGAGGAGTAGAGAGTTCCGAAAAAATCAGGTATAGAATCGTCGATCTTGCAGAGTGCACTACATCCAACTACATAGATCTGCAGGTCCTGTCTTGAAATCATGATGTGGTCAGCTGTGACAGCAACAACAACAACAACATGGTCAACAACTTACCAGGTCCACATGAACATTGAGGAGGGTTACCTGATGTGAAGTTAATGGGTGTCATGTGTGAATTTTACAAAGATGGCACAATTTATGGATAACAACTTCTTTATTTACTGTAAAGGCAACGTTCCGGTATAGACCCTTATTCCATTGTAAAGCGGGGGAACGGGTGGCCCAGTCATCTAAGGCGCCGCGATTCGCAGTGCAGAGTTGCATCCCTTGGGCACGCCAGAAACCTATGATTGTGGGTTCGAATCCAGGTTCGCCCCGATTAGGTTTCTAGGTTTGTCAGCACCATACCCGTTCTCGTGGGTTTCACCAAAGTGGTAAACGTCTGAGACCTGCATCACTTCAGGCTTTCCTCCCGCATTAAGCTGACACGCCGTGATATAACTGGAATAATGTTAAAAGCGGCGTTAAATCCAACTCACTCACCCATTGTCAAGCAAGGAAGTTGTTATACATAAATTGTGGACCGCCTCCGTGGTCTAGTGGTAGAGCATCCGCCCAGAGAGCGGAAGGTCCGGGGTTTGATCCCCAGCCATGTCATACCAAAAGATGTTAAGAGATGGTACTTGTTGTTAACCTGTCTGGTGCTCGGCATTAAGGGGCTATAACAAGGACTGGCCAGCTCAGAGTCAGTATACTGTGTCTGAGTGGGGTATTCATGTCTCAGTGTGCTAGCACTATAAATCGTCATCAGACTGGACTAGTACAAGCAGCCACACACACACACACACACACACACACACACACACACACACACACACATCTGCATGCACGTCATTATGTAAGTGTAATAATCTTGGACACAACGTTAAACCCCATTTCACCTCACCTCATAAATTATGTCTACTTTGTCATCCATCAACTTCTAAGTAATGCCTATCAAACAATTCATGTGAATCTTTCGTTTTAAATTTTGTCAAACATAATTCTTCTCCTGAATGAAGGTTAGTACTAAAAACAACAAATGTAAAGTCTATATATGTCAGATTTCTTGAACTATCATGTACATCCATATTCATTTATGTATTAATTACAGCGATTCTGTCACATGCTATAAAACTGGGATCCCTGACTACTGTGGTATTGGTTTCACCTTCTGTCACATGCTATAAAACTGGGATCCCTGACTACTGTGGTATTGGTTTCACCTTCTGTCACATGCTATAAAACTGGGATCCCTGACTACCGTGGTATTGGTTTCACCTTCTGTCACATGCTATAAAACTGGGATCCCTGACTACTGTGGTATTGGTTTCACCTTCTGTCACATGCTATAAAACTGGGATCCCTGACTACAGTGGTATTGGTTTCACCTTCTGTCACATGCTATAAAACTGGGATCCCTGACCACTGTGGTATTGGTTTCACCTTCTGTCACATGCTATAAAACTGGGATCCCTGACTACTGTGGTATTGGTTTCACCTTCTGTCACATGCTATAAAACTGGGATCCCTGACCACTGTGGTATTGGTTTCACCTTCTGTCACATGCTATAAAACTGGGATCCCTGACTACAGTGGTATTGGTTTCACCTTCTGTCACATGCTATAAAACTGGGATCCCTGACCACTGTGGTATTGGTTTCACCTTCTGTCACATGCTATAAAACTGGGATCCCTGACTACCGTGGTATTGGTTTCACCTTCTGTCACATGCTATAAAACTGGGATCCCTGACTACAGTGGTATTGGTTTCACCTTCTGTCACATGCTATAAAACTGGGATCCCTGACCACCATGGTATTGGTTTCACCTTCTGTCACACGCTATAAAACTGGGATCCCTGACTACCGTGGTATTGGTTTCACCTTCTGTCACATGCTATAAAACTGGGATCCCTGACCACCATGGTATTGGTTTCACCTTCTGTCACAAGCTATAAAACTGGTATCCCTAACCACCGTGGTATTTCTTTCACCATCTCTCACATGCTATAAAACTGGGATCCCTGACCACCGTGATATTGGTTTCACCTTCTGTCACATGCTATAAAACTGGGATCCCTGACTACCGTGGTATTGGTTTCACCTTCTGTCACATGCTATAAAACTGGGATCCCTGACTACAGTGGTATTGGTTTCACCTTCTGTCACATGCTATAAAACTGGGATCCCTGACCACTGTGGTATTGGTTTCATCTTCTGTCATATGCTATAAAACTGGGATTCCTGACCACCGTGGTATTGGTTTCACCTTCTGTCACATGCTATAAAACTGGGATCCCTGACCACCGTGGTATTGGTTTCACCTTCTGTCACATGCTATAAAACTGGGATCCCTGACTACCGTGGTATTGGTTTCACCTTCTGTCAAATGCTATAAAACTGGGATCCCTGACCACCGTGGTATTGGTTTCACCTTCTGTCACATGCTATAAAACTGGGATCCCTGACTACCGTGGTATTGGTTTCACCTTCTGTCACATGCTATAAAACTGGGATACCTGACCACCGTGGTATTGGTTTCACCTTCTGTCACATGCTATAAAACTGGGATCCCTGACCACTGTGGTATTGGTTTCACCTTCTGTCACATGCTATAAAACTGGGATCCCTGACAACCATGGTATTGGTTTCACCTTCTGTCACATGCTATAAAACTGGGATCCCTGACCACTGTGGTATTGGTTTCACCTTCTGTCACATGCTATAAAACTGGGATCCCTGACCACCGTGGTATTGGTTTCACCTTCTGTCACATGCTATAAAACTGGGATCCCTGACCACTGTGGTATTGGTTTCACCTTCTGTCACATGCTATAAAACTGGGATCCCTGACTACCGTGGAATTGGTTTCACCTTCTGTCACATGCTATAAAACTGGATCCCTGACCACCGTGGTATTGGTTTCACCTTCTGTCACATGCTATAAAACTGGGATCCCTGACCACTGTGGTATTGGTTTCACCTTCTGTCACATGCTATAAAACTGGGATCCCTGACTACCGTGGAATTGGTTTCACCTTCTGTCACATGCTATAAAACTGGATCCCTGACCACTGTGGTATTGGTTTCACCTTCTGTCACATGCTATAAAACTGGGATCCCTGACTACCGTGGTATTGGTTTCACCTTCTGTCACATGCTATAAAACTGGGATCCCTGACCACTGTGGTATTGGTTTCACCTTCTGTCACATGCTATAAAACTGGGATCCCTGACTACCATGGTATTGGTTTCACCTTCTGTCACATGCTATAAAACTGGGATCCCTGACTACCGTGGTATTGGTTTCACCTTCTGTCACATGCTATAAAACTGGGATCCCTGACCACCGTGGTATTGGTTTCACCTTCTGTCACATGCTATAAAACTGGGATCCCTGACCACCGTGGTATTTGTTTCACCTTCTGTCACATGCTATAAAACTGGGATCCCTGACCACTGTGGTATTGGTTTCACCTTCTGTCACATGCTATAAAACTGGGATCCCTGACTACCGTGGTATTGGTTTCACCTTCTGTCACATGCTATAAAACTGGGATCCCTGACCACTGTGGTATTGGTTTCACCTTCTGTCACATGCTATAAAACTGGGATCCCTGACTACCGTGGTATTGGTTTCACCTTCTGTCACATGCTATAAAACTGGGATCCCTGACTACAGTGGTATTGGTTTCACCTTCTGTCACATGCTATAAAACTGGGATCCCTGACCACTGTGGTATTGGTTTCACCTTCTGTCACACGCTATAAAACTGGGATCCCTGACTACCGTGGTATTGGTTTCACCTTCTGTCACATGCTATAAAACTGGGATCCCTAACTACCGTGGTATTGGTTTCACCTTCTGTCACATGCTATAAAACTGGGATCCCTGACCACCATGGTATTGGTTTCACCTTCTGTCACAAGCTATAAAACTGGGATCCCTGACCACCGTGGTATTTGTTTGACCATCTGTCACATGCTATAAAACTGGGATCCCTGACCACCGTGATATTGGTTTCACCTTCTGTCACATGCTATAAAACTGGGATCCCTGACTACCGTGGTATTGGTTTCACCTTCTGTCACATGCTATAAACCTGGGATCCCTGACTACAGTGGTATTGGTTTCACCTTCTGTCACATGCTATAAAACTGGGATCCCTGACCACTGTGGTATTGGTTTCACCTTCTGTCATATGCTATAAAACTGGGATCCCTGACTACCGTGGTATTGGTTTCACCTTCTGTCACATGCTATAAAACTGGGATCCCTGACCACCGTGGTATTGGTTTCACCTTCTGTCACATGCTATAAAACTGGGATCCCTGACTACCGTGGTATTGGTTTCACCTTCTGTCACATGCTATAAAACTGGGATCCCTGACTACCGTGGTATTGGTTTCACCTTCTGTCACATGCTATAAAACTGGGATCCCTGACCACTGTGGTATTGGTTTCACCTTCTGTCACATGCTATAAAACTGGGATCCCTGACAACCATGGTATTGGTTTCACCTTCTGTCACATGCTGTAAAACTGGGATCCCTGACTACCGTGGTATTGGTTTCACCTTCTGACACATGCTATAAAACTGGGATCCCTGACCACTGTGGTATTGGTTCCATCTTCTGTCACATGCTATAAAACTGGGATCCCTGACTACCGTGGTATTGGTTTCACCTTCTGTCACATGCTATAAAACTGGGATTCCTGACCACTGTGGTATTGGTTTCACCTTCTGTCACATGCTATAAAACTGGGATCCCTGACTACCGTGGTATTGGTTTCACCTTCTGTCACATGCTATAAAACTGGGATCCCTGACAACTGTGGTATTGGTTTCACCTTCTGTCACATGCTATAAAACTGGGATCCCTGACCACTGTGGTATTGGTTTCACCTTCTGTCACATGCTATAAAACTGGGATCCCTGACTACCGTGATATTGGTTTCACCTTCTGTCACATGCTATAAAACTGGGATCCCTGACTACCGTGGTATTGGTTTCACCTTCTGACACATGCTATAAAACTGGGATCCCTGACAACCATGGTATTGGTTTCACCTTCTGTCACATGCTATAAAACTGGGATCCCTGACCACTGTGGTATTGGTTTCACCTTCTGTCACATGCTATAAAACTGGGATCCCTGACTACCGTGGAATTGGTTTCACCTTCTGTCACATGCTATAAAACTGGGATCCCTGACCACTGTGGTATTGGTTTCACCTTCTGTCACATGCTATAAAACTGGGATCCCTGACCACCGTGGTATTGGTTTCACCTTCTGTCACATTCTATAAAACTGGGATCCCTGACAACCATGGTATTGGTTTCACCTTCTGTCACATGCTATAAAACTGGGATCCCTGACCACCATGGTATTGGTTTCACCTTCTGTCACATGCTATAAAACTGGGATCCCTGACTACCATGGTATTGGTTTCACCTTCTGTCACATGCTATAAAACTGGGATCCCTGACCACCATGGTATTGGTTTCACCTTCTGTCACATGCTATAAAACTGGGATCCCTGACTACCGTGGTATTGGTTTCACCTTCTGTCACAAGCTATAAAACTGGGATCCCTGACCACCGTGGTATTGGTTTCACCTTCTGTCACATGCTATAAAACTGGGATCCCTGACTACCGTGGTATTGGTTTCACCTTCTGTCACATGCTATAAAACTGGGATCCCTGACTACAGTGGTATTGGTTTCACCTTCTGTCACATGCTATAAAACTGGGATCCCTGACCCCTGTGGTATTTGTTTCACCATCTGTCACATGCTATAAAACTGGGATCCCTGACCACCGTGGTATTGGTTTCACCTTCTGTCACATGCTATAAAACTGGGATCCCTGACTACCATGGTATTGGTTTCACCTACTGTCACATGCTATAAAACTGGGATCCCTGACCACCGTGGAATTGGTTTCACCTTCTGTCACATGCTATAAAACTGGGATCCCTGACTACTGTGGTATTGGTTTCACCTTCTGTCACATGCTATAAAACTGGGATCCCTGACCACTGTGGTATTGGTTTCACCTTCTGTCACATGCTATAAAACTGGGATCCCTGACTACCGTGGTATTGGTTTCACCTTCTGTCACATGCTATAAAACTGGGATCCCTGACCACTGTGGTATTGGTTTCACCTTCTGTCACATGCTATAAAACTGGGATCCCTGACTACCGTGGTATTGGTTTCACCTTCTGTCACATGCTATAAAACTGGGATCCCTGACTACCGTGGTATTGGTTTCACCTTCTGTCACATGCTATAAACCTGGGATCCCTGACTACCGTGGTATTGGTTTCACCTTCTGTCACATGCTATAAAACTGGGATCCCTGACTACAGTGGTATTGGTTTCACCTTCTGTCACATGCTATAAAACTGGGATCCCTGACCCCTGTGGTATTTGTTTCACCATCTGTCACATGCTATAAAACTGGGATCCCTGACCACCGTGGTATTGGTTTCACCTTCTGTCACATGCTATAAAACTGGGATCCCTGACTACCATGGTATTGGTTTCACCTTCTGTCACATGCTATAAAACTGGGATCCCTGACCACCGTGGAATTGGTTTCACCTTCTGTCACATGCTATAAAACTGGGATCCCTGACTACTGTGGTATTGGTTTCACCTTCTGTCACATGCTATAAAACTGGGATCCCTGACCACTGTGGTATTGGTTTCACCTTCTGTCACATGCTATAAAACTGGGATCCCTGACTACCGTGGTATTGGTTTCACCTTCTGTCACATGCTATAAAACTGGGATCCCTGACCACTGTGGTATTGGTTTCACCTTCTGTCACATGCTATAAAACTGGGATCCCTGACTACCGTGGTATTGGTTTCACCTTCTGTCACATGCTATAAAACTGGGATCCCTGACTACCGTGGTATTGGTTTCACCTTCTGTCACATGCTATAAAACTGGGATCCATGACCACCGTGGTATTGGTTTCACCTTCTGTCACATGCTATAAAACTGGGACCCCTGACCACTGTGGTTTTGGTTTCACCTTCTGTCACATGCTATAAAACTGGGATCCCTGACTACCGTGGTATTGGTTTCACCTTCTGTAACCAGGTTTTTGTAGCACAATAAAAACATTAACTACAAAAAATAATATAAACATGAGCATTGAAGTCTAGACAGCAACTATCAAAGATTTCTGAACCCCATTCTAGTGTTTGAGCACAGATGAACGGCTTTATACATACGGTCGATATTTCGATGAAGAATCCTCTTGTTGTGTATGTTCTTCAAGAACAGCAACAGCCTGTAGTTTAACAGATTCACTTCTAGGTCCGTCAGTCGTTGTCGTGTTTTAAGCAGCTCTGTCAGTGTTACACCTATAAATAGAATATCATGAATTATACAGTAGAACCCTGTTTATCTCATCTTCCTGAGGCCAGGGAATTAACTGACTATAAAAGTCCAGTTTCCACCCTTGCTGAACTAGGCTGGTAGTATGGAGTTATATCTGGGTCAACTTACGGGTCTATACATTTTCTAATCAAAATCAAGTAACCAAATCGACACTCGGGTCAGAAAAACAACATTGCGATTGCCAGATGATTTTAGTTGACAGCAGGATTTGCAGAGCATTTGTCCCCTCAAGTGGGCATTGACAGATGTTTTAACAATTTTTTATGTTTTTACTCAAGGAGCTCAAGTGATTTGATGGACTTCGCGGGGTGAGACCCATTTTATTATAATAAAGATCTTGATTATTTATCTAATTGTTTTGACTGGGCTGCCATTTTGTTTGAAAATGCAAGTGATATGAGAGGTGGAATCTGAATATACAGGAGGAACATAGAAGGGACATAATTCACAGCCGCAACTGCTGGCACTGCGACTGAGCCACTAAATTCAAGTTCGGCAAGGATGGAAACTGGACTTTTACAGGACTTGCCTCAGGGAGATGGGGTTCTCTGGGCTGATACTTGTCCCTGAATTTGAGAAATAATTGCTGTTGTATCGTCAATTGTAGGTTTCAAATCAAAATAACCACCTCTCACTGAAACAGCTGATTTGACAACTGCATCAGTGCACCTAAAGGCTCTGAATTGGATTTCTTCTACGTCTATCTCCTGGTGGCCCAGTCGTCTAAGGCGCCGCGATTCACTGTGCAGAGTTGTGTCCCTTGGGTTAACCAGAAACCTATGATTGTGGGCTCGAATCCCGGTTTGCCCCGATTATGTTTCTAGGTTTGTCAGCACCATACCCATGCTCGTGGGTTTCACCGAAGTGGTAAATGTCTGAGACCTGCATCACTTCGGGCTTTCCTCCCACATTAAGCTGACACGCCGTGATATAACTGGAATACTGTTAAAAGCGGCGTTAAACCCAACTCACTCACTCACTCCTAATTATTAAGGGTGTGAGGTATTACCAGTATATCAGTAAACTGAGGTTCATGCTTTCCGGGATATGTATCACGATATCACTTTTCATATTTGATATATCAGGTAATAACAAATTGGGATTTTGTTCATGATATAAAAACTTGCCAAAAGCCTCTGCTGCCAAGGAGCGAACATTTGGGGCCCCAGGATGGCTGTGTATTTTTTGAATGAGTAAGCATCTTGTTTTGTTCTATTTATGAACTTCAATTCATACCTTAATATATCAGATTGCTTCTGAATGAAAGATTTAGAATTATAAAATATATCGCAATATGTATCACAATACGTCCTTGTGCATTGCAAAATATTGTGATACACTTTAAACCTCCAATACCCATCCGTACTAATCATGAGAAACCTATGTCTGCATAATATTCACTGTACAGATTGTGTTCATCAACATACCATTAAAACATTTCTGCAAAATTTGGACCGTACAGTGGTTCCAGATGACGCCAATGATCTCAGTCATAGTGCCACATCCACTGGTAATTGCCAGTTCCACTTCAGCTCTCTTGAAGTCAGCCCGGGAATACTGAAACACATGGTTAATATCTACCTTCAACTTCAGAGAATAACCAGTCTTGGTTATCCACAGAAACAGATTCCATTGGGTACAAAAGTCAGACTACTGGTGAAACTCAGTGATGATACCAGGTGAGTCTAAACAGGTTAAGCCTGCCTGAGTGCTCGCCCCCATCACGATCACGTGATGGACCAGAAAATCCAATGACACCATAAAATGGCTCTGTAGGTAACCAAACATACTTTAGGCTAAAAAACCTAATAGTCTTGGTTCTCAGGCACCGCCCGCATCATCATAAAGTCTGCCGCATGTTTTGTTTTTATTTAAATTTAAATTTAAAAAAAAAATCTTTAAATATTCCGCGTTTCAAACACACGACCCTGGCAGAGAAATGAAAATTATTGTAACCAGAATTTGGTTACATGCTAGCTTGAACTTAAAAAAAACACACAAAAAACAAAAAAAACGCCCCCCCACCCGCACTATATTTTTAAAAGCCATTGCCTGCGAACCAATTCTTTTGTTTTTTTAAGCCTTACAGGTGAATTTGAGATAACTAAAACAATAGTTTTGTTACAAATGGTAAATAATTGTTAGGTACTGATGATTTTGACGAAATATGAAGCAGATAACATAAAAACAGGTAGGGTAGGGAATATGTTTTCAGCCATACGTTCCTGCCCCAAGAGGCGACTAATGGGATCGGGTGGTCAGGGTCGCTGACTTGGTTTAATGCATGACATCGTATCCTAATTTCATAGATCGATGCTCATGAAGTAAATCATTGGATTGTCTGGTCTAGACTTGATTTATATTATAAAGCTGGAATACTGCTGAATGTGGCATTAAAAAACAAACAATCAATCAAACAAACTGACACGTTACAAAGAGTGAGTGAGTGAGTTGTGTTTAACGCCGCTTTTAACAGTATTCTGGTCGTATCACGGCGTGTCAGCTTAATGTGGGAGGAAAGCCCGAAGTGTTGCAGGTCTCCGACGTTTACCACTTCGGTGAAACCCACGAGCATGGGTATGTTGCTGACAAACCTAGAAACATAATCGGGGCGAACCGGGATTCGAACCCACAATCATAGGTTTCTGGCGTGCCGAAGGGACGCAACTCTGCACAGCGAATCGCAGCGCCTTAGACGACTGGGCAACCCGTGCCCCCCGTTACAAAGAAGTATGTGGGGGTGACATTATAATCTATTTTATGGCTACCATCCGACTCTTTGTAACTTGAGGAGGCACGAGTGGCCCAGTAGTCGTTGGCCTAAGGTGCCACAATTTGCTGTGTTGCATTTGAGGGCATGAGTTCGAATCCTTGTTAGCCCCGATTATGTTTCTTGGTTTGTAAGCAACATACCCATGCTCGTGGGTTTCACCGAAGTGGTAAACGTCGGAGACCTGCAACACTTCGGGCTTTCCTCCCACATTAAGCTGACACGCCGTGATACGACCAGAATACTGTTTGTTTCCTCCATCATCAAGCTGATGCACCGTCATATAAATAGAACACTGTTAAAAGCTGCATTTAACTGAACTCTCTCACTCACGCTAATAAATTTGAATTTGGACATTACAAGAATCTTCAACGATTTATGGTAGCAGACGTAGCATGATCCTTAAATTACATATTTACACATGCATAACTGCCTATGTAGAGAGCAAAATTTACATGATTTTCATGATTGCCATGGTTACCACAATAGAACATGTTGCTCAAGGTCAAAGGTTGAAACTGTATCACAGCAAAAATTAAACATGTTATGAAGAAAAACGACAGCATATCAAACATAATTATAACAAGTTCAGTGAGTGAGTGAGTGAGTAGGGTTTTACGCCGCTTTTAGCAATATTCTAGCAAAATCACGGCGGGGACACCAGAAATGGGCTTCGCACATTGTACCCATGTCGGGAATCGAACCCGGGTCTTCGGCGTCACGAGCGAACGCTTTAACCACTAGGCTACCCAACCGCCCCCAACAAGTTCAGAACTAGTTTGTCAAATTAGTGCCATAGTGCTGTAGCTCACCTGAATATATAGTCAACAGTTTAAAATGTTAACAAACACAGATACTTAAAAAGTAATAGGTAACCTAGCTTCACAATGAAATCACAGTATGTTTATCTCCTAAATACACCCAAAACATTACATATGTTGACAAGTGGAGCTTCTCTACAAACTACACATGTACTGTGTCATTGCCATAAATAGGTCGTTCACTACAGCCGTTAATAATCAGATTTGGACCTCTTGAAAAAATCAGGGTGTCATCATTGATGATAACAAGCATGTCATTGGTTACCTGAAGGCGAAGATATTTACGACAAAGAACAGACGATGCAAGACATTGAGATTGGTCTTAGGACTGCATCATATTTTGTTTTTCTAATCCCCCTGACCCCACATACCCCAACCCACCTCAATATTGATGTAACATGTTTTCATGTCCCCCCTCCCCGTAATAACTGACTAATTCCTAAATAATATTCACATTTATAACCTTTTTTATTTGAAACAATGAACTGTGTCATTTTGTGTCCTTCATCAATGCGGGGGCGGTCGGGTAGCCTAGTGGTTAAAGCGTTAGCTCGTCACGCCGAAGACCCGGGTTTGATTCCTGACATGGGTACAATGTGTGAAGCCCATTTCTGGTGTTCCCCGCCGTGATATTGCTGGAATATTGCTAAAAGCGGCGTAAAACCATACTCACTCACTCACTTTCATCAATGCATCCCAGATTCCAGACTGGAAATCAATATTGACACAGCAGTACATATAAAAGGTTAACAGTTGAAGGTTCAATTGTAAATATCACATTAAACAGAGAAAAATATCATTACATAATGAAAATTATCACACCAAATAATTATCAAATTTCAAAATGATACATGCAGAAATGGCTGACTTATGGGAAAAACTGGTCCTTTCAGTATGTCATTCTCAGTATGTTTCCAAATTGATCTGATTTCACAAACATGAAAAGGGTGTTGGATAACACACCAACCTACCTGTTTGGAGATTATTGTGTGGTTGTCCAATGTTCTCCTCGTCACTGCATTTCGACGACCCAATCTTTCACTACCGTGATAAGGCAAGTTGAAGTTTTCAACTCCAGGTGGTATTACAGTTTGATTCTGTAAAAATAAAAACAAAAATCAAATCAATAAGACTTCAGACATAAGACACAAGGTTAGGTATGGTGTGGAACAACTACTGCCAGTGTACATGTATCGTGGAAAAATGTCCTAGTAAAACCTGTTCCATGAGTGAGTGAGTGAGTATGGTTTTACGCAATATTCCAGCAATATGACAGTGGGGGACACCAGAAATGGGCTTCACACATTGTACCCATGTTGGGAATTGAACCCAGGTCTTCGGCATGACGACCTAAAGCTTTAACCACTCGGCCACCCGACCGCCCCCTGTTCCAGATATTAACAGATAGTAACAAAGGAAGAATTTCACTACAGAAAATGATATTCTATTCATGCTCCGTATCAAATTGCAGCACTTCACAAACTGTACTTACATCACTGATGGTTCACAAAACTGCACGTGATCAACATTTTAGCAAAGATGTATCGGTGAATCGTTTCTGCCTTATAACAAAATGTCCATACATACAATGATCAACCATGTTCATTTGTTGCCCCATATCACAATCCAGAACTTAAAACAAGGATCAGTACCTTTCCCAGTACATGAGGGTCCAGACTGATACCTATCACAGTGCTTGACCAGTCCAGACTGTCACCTATCACAGTACGTGGATCGGTTCAGACTGTTACCTATCACAGTATGTGTGACCGGTCCAGACTATCACCTATCACAGTACGTGCATCGGTTCAGACTGTCACCTATCACAGTATGTGTGACCGGTCCAGACTGTTACCTATCACAGTATGTGTGACCAGTCCAGACTGTTACCTATCACAGTACGTGGACCGGTTCAGACAGTTACCTATCACAGTATGTTTGACCGGTCCAGACTGTCACCTATCACAGTATGTGGACCGGTTCAGACTGTCATCTATCACAGTATGTTTGACCGGTCCAGACTGTCCCCTATCACAGTACGTGGACCGGTCCAGACTGTCCCCTATCACAGTACGTGGACCGGTTCAGACTGTCACCTATCACAGTACGTGGACCGGTCCAGACTGTTACCTATCACAGTATGCGTGACCGGTCCAGACTGTCACCTATCACAGTATGTGTGACCAGTCCAGACTGTCACCTATCACAGTACGTGGACCGGTTCAGACTGTCACCTATCACAGTACGTGGACCGGTCCAGGCTGTCACCTATCACAGTACGTGGACCGGTTCAGACTGTCACCTATCACAGTATGTGTGACCGGTCCAGACTGTTACCTATCACAGTATGTGTGACCGGTCCAGACAGTTACCTATCACAGTATGTTTGACCGGTCCAGACTGTCACCTATCACAGTATGTGTGACCGGTCCAGACTGTTACCTATCACAGTACGTGGACCGGTTCAGACAGTTACCTATCACAGTATGTGTGACCGGTCCAGACTGTCACCTATCACAGTATGTGTGACCGGTCCAGACTGTCACCTATCACAGTACGTGGACCGGTTCAGACTGTCATCTATCACAGTATGTTTGACCGGTCCAGACTGTCCCCTATCACAGTACGTGGACCGGTTCAGACTGTCATCTATCACAGTAAGTGGACCGGTTCAGACTGTCACCTATCACAGTACGTGGACCGGTCCAGACTGTTACCTATCACAGTATGCGTGACCGGTCCAGACTGTCACCTATCACAGTATGTGTGACCAGTCCAGACTGTCACCTATCACAGTACGTGGACCGGTTCAGACTGTCACCTATCACAGTACGTGGACCGGTCCAGGCTGTCACCTATCACAGTACGTGGACCGGTTCAGACTGTCACCTATTACAGAACGTGTGACCGGTTCAGACTGTTTCCTATCACAGTACGTGGACCAGTTCAGACTGTCACCTATCACAGAACGTGTGACCGGTTCAGACTGTTTCCTATCACAGTACGTGGACCGGTCCAGACTGTCACCTATCACAGTACGTGGACCGGTTCAGACAGTTACCTATCACAGTATGTGTGACCGGTCCAGACTGTCACCTATCACAGTATGTGTGACCGGTCCAGGCTGTCACCTATCACAGTACGTGGACCGGTTCAGACAGTTACCTATCACAGTATGTGTGATCGGTCCAGACTGTCACCTATCACAGTATGTGTGACCGGTCCAGACTGTCACCTATCACAGTACGTGGACCGGTCCAGACTGTCACCTATCACAGTATGTGTAACCGGTCCAGACTGTCACTTATCACAGTACGTGGACCGGTTCAGACTGTCACCTATCACAGTATGTGTGACCCGTTCAGACTGTCACCTATCACAGTACGTGGACCAGTTCAGACTGTTACCTATCACAGTATGTGTGACCGGTCCAGACTGTCACCTATCACAGTATGTGGACCGGTTCAGACTGTCATCTATCACAGTATGTTTGACCGGTCCAGACTGTCCCCTATCACAGTACGTGGACCGGTTCAGACTGTCATCTATCACAGTACGTGGACCAGTTCAGACTGTCACCTATCACAGTACGTGGACCGGTCCAGACTGTCACCTATCACAGTATGTGTGACCAGTCCAGACTGTCACCTATCACAGTACGTGGACCGGTTCAGACTGTCACCTATCACAGAACGTGTGACCGGTTCAGACTGTTTCCTATCACAGTACGTGGACCGGTTCAGACTGTCACCTATCACAGTATGTGTGACCCGTTCAGACTGTCACCTATCACAGTACGTGGACCAGTTCAGACTGTTACCTATCACAGTATGTGTGACCGGTCCAGACTGTCACCTATCACAGTATGTGGACCGGTTCAGACTGTCATCTATCACAGTATGTTTGACTGGTCCAGACTGTCCCCTATCACAGTACGTGGACCGGTTCAGACTGTCATCTATCACAGTACGTGGACCAGTTCAGACTGTCACCTATCACAGTACGTGGACCGGTCCAGACTGTCACCTATCACAGTATGTGTGACCAGTCCAGACTGTCACCTATCACAGTACGTGGACCGGTTCAGACTGTCACCTATCACAGAACGTGTGACCGGTTCAGACTGTTTCCTATCACAGTACGTGGACCGGTTCAGACTGTCACCTATCACAGAACGTGTGACCGGTTCAGACTGTTTCCTATCACAGTACGTGGACCGGTTCAGACTGTCACCTATCACAGTATGTGTGACCGGTCCAGACTGTCACCTATCACAGTACGTGGACCGGTTCAGACAGTTACCTATCACAGTATGTGTGACCGGTCCAGACTGTCACCTATCACAGTATGTGTGACCGGTCCAGGCTGTCACCTATCACAGTACGTGGACCGGTTCAGACAGTTACCTATCACAGTATGTGTGACCGGTCCAGACTGTCACCTATCACAGTACGTGGACCGGTCCAGACTGTCACCTATCACAGTACGTGGACCGGTTCAGACTGTCACCTATCACAGAACGTGTGACCGGTTCAGACTGTTTCCTATCACAGTACGTGGACCGGTTCAGACTGTCACCTATCACAGTATGTGTGACTCGTTCAGACTGTCACCTATCACAGTACGTGGACCAGTTCAGACTGTTACCTATCACAGTATGTGTGACCGGTCCAGACTGTTACCTATCACAGTATGTGTGACCCGTTCAGACTGTCACCTATCACAGTACGTGGACCGGTTCAGACAGTTACCTATCACAGTATGTGTGACCGGTTCAGACAGTTACCTATCACAGTATGTGTGACCCGTTCAGACTGTCACCTATCACAGTACGTGGACCGGTTCAGACAGTTACCTATCACAGTATGTGTGACCGGTTCAGACTGTCACCTATCACAGTACGTGGACCGGTTCAGACAGTTACCTATCACAGTACGTGGACCGGTTCAGACTGTTACCTATCACAGTATGTGTGACCGGTTCAGACTGTTACCTATCACAGTATGTGTGACTGGTCCAGACTGTCCCCTATCACAGTATGTGTAACCGGTCCAGACTGTCACCTTTCCCAGTACATGTAACCGGTTCAGACAGTTACCTATCACAGTATGTGTGACCGGTCCAGACTGTCACCTATCACAGTATGTGTGACTGGTCCAGACTGTTACCTTTCACAGTATGTGTGACTGGTCCAGACTGTCACCTTTCCCAGTACGTGTGACCGGTTCAGACTGTCACCTATCACAGTATGTGTGACCGGCCCAGACTATTACCTATCACAGTATGTGTGACCGGTTCAGACTGTCACCTATCACAGTATGTGTGACCGGCCCAGACTATTACCTATCACAGTATGTGTGACCGGTTCAGACTGTCACCTATCACAGTATGTGTGACCGGTTCAGATTGTTACCTATCACAGTATGCGTGACCGGCCCAGACTATTACCTATCACAGTATGAGTGACCGGTTCAGATTGTTACCTATCACAGTATGTGTGACCGGTTCAGATTGTTAACTATCACAGTATGTGTGACCGGTTCAGATTGTTACCTATCACAGTATGTGTGACCGGTTGAGATTTTTACCTATCACAGTATGTGTGACCGGTTCAGATTGTTACCTATCCTAAAAAGTGGACCTGTCCTGTAACTAGCTGGTCACCTCTTACTCAGCAAATACATCAAATAGTTGTAGATCTCTGAGATAAGAAACCAAAACAACATTTTATGTCAGCAGTGATGTTTACTCCCAACAAGCTACAGCTACCAGTTACTGGACCATCTTGAACATTGCAGCCCCTTATTGCACATACAAGTTGTACGAGATAACAGACAAATTATCATTTTTCTCAGATTTCCTCACAGTACGCATACTGAAAGAGCATCATTGGATATTTACGTGTGCTGTTCTTATACATTTGTGTTTTTCCTTCAATACATGCGTTTCTGCACACAAGTTTTTTTAAAGTAATTGGGTTTTGAATATTTTGGGGGGTATTTTACGCAAATACGCAGCTTATCTGTAGCTCTGACCATTTTGGTAGGATTTCATCAAATGTAACCTCTACTGTGATTGGTCCACCTCCTGAGAGGATACACGCAGTATAAAGTCGAACTCGAACCAAAAATATATAAGAGATACGTAAACCCAGAACCATTACTTACAAGACTTGTAGGTAACTGACTTTTATGTTTGGGGAAGTGTTGGAGGACTCTGATGGGAGGATATTCCAGGGATATTTTTGTCAGATCACTTCAGTTTGTGTTGATGCAAAGATGGATTCTGTCTGCTTATGATTAGAGTTTCCCTGCCAGTGGTACACATGTCCTTCAACGTCTTATCAGCATTTGATTTTTTTTTCTTTCAAAAATTGCTATAGGATTTTCCAAGCATGCCAGGGTTTGAACCTGGAATCTTCTGATCCGTAGTCAGACGCGTTATCCGTTGCGCCACACGCCCAAGGTAGTGTTCTTGTGTTCTTTGTCAGGAGGAGTTCTTAATTTACCAAGGAATTGTAATCACAAGAGAACTGTTACAAAGAGGCATTTATCAGGAAATTGTAAAACATCTTTGTGACTACATTTCATACACCATTTGCAATGTCTAATCCCACTGTTTACCCGTCAATAGCGGTATTCTGACCGTGGTTGCTGTTAATAACGGTGAGTTGTGCGATCTTCCGATCGCTTCACACACGATTTCGCCGAAATTAATAAAAACAATATTATAAGGAATTTTGAATAAAATCAATGAAATAAGTTACAAACATAAGTCCAGATATACAAAGAACACTTTTTATAGCCAGACAGTGTAATTACATAATTATTTTGCGTACTTCAGTATGGATTTGTTGACATGGTATTTCCGGTGTTTCGTGCTCACGGTAATGTGTTTCCATGGGGGAAAAAAACATCCAAACTCATAATTCATGTATAATGCGCACCCCCTTCTACACAGCTGTGTTTTTTCGAAAAAAAAGTGTGCACTATACTCAAGAAAATTACGGTATACACATGAAAGTTATGTTTATCACATTACTTAAATAATGCTTTATTAATAATTACTTAAATAAACTTCAGGCCGTAAGGGCCTGATGAAATTTATAACTATTAGCTTGAGAACAAATCTGTCAGGCTAGGCCCAACGGGACAATGTCTATTTTGGACATTGGCTTGGGGCCAACAAAACCATGGGGTTTATGGTGGTGAGGCACCTTATTATTCTGGCCAACTCTGTCCAGGGCACCTACCTCCAATATGACTCCACGCCATCGACAATGATGGAGACTCTGGTCGTGACGACTCAGAGCTGCGTCACAGAGACTGAGCTGTAAAGTCTGGCCAACTCTGTCCAGGGCACCTACCTCCAATATGACCCCACGCCATCGACAATGATGGAGACTCTGGTCATGACGACTCAGCGCCTCGTCATCGAGACTGAGCTGTAAAGTCTGGAAGTGGCCATGCTGTACAGTGGTTGGAGGAGTCTGGGGATCTTGGTCGGGGGGAAGCAGGGGTCCTTCCATGGGATGGAAGTCATCACTCTCCTCCGTAGCAGGAACAGGAAGCATCGCTGAGTCACCTAAAAAATAAAGGCTTGTTATCATTACATATTTAGAATACAGAGCTCCAGATAACTTTTTGAGCAACTGAATTTGTACCATAGGGTTTCTATTTTAATTGGGTTATAACATTTTCCATTTCTATTTTATAATATTTTTTCACTCATCCATTCATCACTCTATTGGTTTTTTCCCAAAATTAGTGAACATTTTAAGATTTAAAATAAAATGAAATAATGTTGAGATGTATATGACTGTTCTAAATATTTAGGCTTAAAGTAAGAAAGTAAATTAGGTCATAATTGTTTTTCGGATATTAGCTCCATTGTACGCATGCTAAAAAACTTCATTTGGTATTTACGTGTCGGACAAGGCGACGTCATGAATCAGGGGTCAGGCTTGATGACCTGGTTGATTGTGAGTGATGTCGAGGGACAATACACCTGTGAACAAGTTTGTTGTTGTCATGACTGCAATGAATGTGGCTTTGAACAAACAGAACATATTCTTTTTTTTCTGAATTGAATTTATGGTCGGGAGATTGGTATTAGAGGACTGTATCACTGTTGGCTGACTCCGCCACCACCCCCACCCCAATTTTATGTAATAATCTAAATAAAGTTCAAATTTTTAAAAAGTTTGAAAAAATTGAAACATCCCCCCCCACACACACACACTTACACCCCCCACCTCCCCCACCAAGATGTAATATAAATTTTCCTCTCTTTTGCTGTGTCATTTTTTAGGACCCTCATTAATCCCTCCCATCAAACACATCAACACCCACTACTAACCCCATCCCCTATTATAAATTATGAAATTCATGCTTATAACATGCAAATCTTTTAGGTTGTAAGACTGATTTGCCATCTGGAATTCTGTCTTCAATTATTTCAATTCATCATAAACCAAACACACATCAGGATTTGAGATGGTTGTTTTTAACCTCACGTAAAAATTGATAAATGAAGCACCCGTACAATCAACGTTCCTTCTTTTAACCTGGTGGACCCATTGATAACTAATTAAGTAATTGGTTATAGTCGAACTATACTCCACGTCATTACATCGATTTTCGGTCAACTTCTAGACGTTGTAGACTAATTAGTGACAAGTATCAAAATGACAGTTTATATGATTCTGATAATCGCCCGTGAAGATCCGAGCTCAGCAAGCAACGCTTGTCGTAATTTTAAGATGCGATTAATGGGATCACATGGCTTGGACGCTGCGAGGTTTACAACAGACAAATAAGATAATTATCACTGTTAGATTGATAAACATATATAATAACATATGTCAGTGTATAAACACGTGGGTAAAACGACTTGAATAAAATCGGCAAGCACTGCCAATTTGTCCCGTGCATACTCTCTATACTTTAAATTTCACTCTGCATCAAAACACATAGATCTACCCCTATAACAACCTTGATTACTATACGGTGTACTTGGAATAAGAATAACTCCAAAGTTTTCTACCAAAACATCTACCGTTTTCCTGCAGATCAACTTAAAGGAATATTCCAGAATTTCGTCGGATCTATTTATATCTGTCAACGAGATGGGTTATAGCGAAAACGTCACCGGGCGAAAACGGCACCGATTGGCGAAAACGGCACCTCGACTCGAGCGAAAACGGCACCTTATTTTTTTTTTTTACCTTGGTCAAATAAATGATATTAAACTTACATTGTACTCCAACTATAATCCAACTTAGCTTATACGCAACTCAACTTATTGTGAAAACATAACATGCTTTGAAGAAAAATAATAGAAATTAAACTCACACCGTCTCTTATAAACACAACTAATTGTGAACGAGATACATGTTTTTGGGTTACTGAACCCGATCATTCGTAAGGTAAAGCGTTACTCCTTTGATATCAACTGTTGATCGATACTGTCGAATCGACGTGAACAACACATAAATGTTTAAGAACAAACCCCTTTACCTATAAAAACACAGCAGAGATCTAGATCTATATGTCAACACGAATGTCTTCAAAATGGCGTCGAGCTCAAAAACGAAAGTAAGAGGCTTGCGAGTGGATAGATTTTGTGCATCACTGCAAACATGTAACAATTTTAGAAATTATCTCAGGGCACTCTTTTTTTATTTGCTTTACGGGCTGTTTTCAGGTAAATACCCTTCGATGGGTGGGGCAGACGCAATTGTTTTACTTTCTTCCTGCATTACAGGCCGACCGGTAAAATTTAAAAAAATGGGACCCGTGAAGATCCGGGTGGAATAGGTCTTCGGCAACCCATGCTTGTCGTAAAAGGCGACTAACGGGATCGGGTGATCAGACTCGCTGACTTTGTTGATGCATGTCATCGTATCCCAATTGAGTGGATCGATGCTCATGATGTCAATCACTGCATGGATTGTCTGGTCCAGACTCAATTATTTACAGACCGCCGTCAATTTATAGCCGGAATATTGCTGAGTGCGGCGTAAAACAACAAACAAACAAACAAACAAACTGTGGGAGGAGAGCCTGCAAACCTGCTGAATACTGTTGTACATCTATACCTTAGATCTATCAATTTCAGAAATAACAAACTTGTTTGACTGCCAAGATTAATATATGTCAGCCTCAGCGGGTCCGTGTATAAAAAATATATTTTGGTGCAAAATGCTTTCAGGTTATCGGCGGGGTGAAAAAAGGGAAAATTCAGAATTTCATTTCAACAAAACTTACAGTCGGCGGATCCGTAAAGAAGTTAAAACAACTTCATGCACACGTATGTTTTTGGATAAAATTTGAGATTAAAATTATAGAGTTAAATCAACGTTTTTAATTAATTCAGTAAGTGCGTGCAGTCAAATCCCGTTAATCCGACATGGTTAGTTTCAGATGCTTATATGTCGGATTAACGAGAGTGTCGGATTAACGAGAGTGTCGGATAAACGAAATTATGTAGTATCAGCGTTCGTGATCGAAAATCGGACAACTGCACGAGCGATAACGCTACAAACACGTTGTATTAAGTATATGATCTGATACAAACTCTCTGACAAAAGCCACCCGTTGCACTAAGTAAATGGAATAAACACTTCCTATTGTGTTTTGGTTTGCAAACTGTACAGCAAATTGCGGCGTCTCAGACGACAGGGCCACCCGTGGTCTCTCAATCGGAACACGCCACTGACCAGAAAATAAAATATTCCTCGGAAGTTAGGTTTTTGAAATAGATTTAATCCAGTCTAACCAAGGGCTCGGCTGGTTACATGTGCGGATGGCTGATTTGTGTTGTTGCTACCACTATTTTACCTGGCCCCAATACGGGTATATTATCTTGTTGTTACATTTGTTGTTAGTTGTTTAACGCCGCACTCAGCAATATTCTAGCTATATGACGGCGGTCTGTAAATAATCGAGTCTGGACCAAACAATCCAGTGATTGACATCATGAGCATCAATCCATGCAATTGGGATCGATGACATGCTTCAACTAAGTCAGCGAGCTTGACCACCCGATCCCGTTAGTCGCCTCTTACGACACGTTGTTACACAGAAGCGTCATAACTCTCCTATACGGTATTTGCACGTGTCAGCTTTGACGATTCTCAATGCTGAATGGGCTGTTACACGCGTGACGTTCAATTGTTCAGGATAACAGCGTATATCCTGTCATCTCTTGTTCATGACGTCACAAATTGATAACAGTACGTCATCAGAACACCTTCACTTTAGTAGTGATATCTGCCGGGTTGATATTTCATAAGTTTTTCGTTTTTTACGTTCTTAAAACGACAACTGGTAAGCTATAAACTATCTTCATCGAAACTCAAAATTACAGATTACCTGTAATAATAAAACAATGTCCATATCAATTATGCGTCCACACCATGAGCATGATCAAAGCCCTACATTATAACCCCTTTCAATGGATTAGTGTGCACCCGATTTTCATTCTAAGCTCCCTGGGGCTTATACAGTTTCCTTTCCTAGTATGAATAAAAAACAATGACTTTTTTATACATTGTTTCCAAGAAACCAATTTAATCTAAAGTTGCTTGCTTGGCAATGGGCTTGCCGACTAACTCCCTTTATGCCGTAACTTTGCAACGTTCATCATTCGATTGACTCCTACGTCTGCCAATTCATAATATGCCGCCCGGGAATCTGAGTGAGTGTGTTGGGATTTAACGCCGCTTTTAACAGTATTCCAGTTATATCGCGGCGTGTCAGCTTAATTATAATGTGGGAGGAAAGCCCCAAGTGATGCAGGTCTCAGACGTTTACCACTTCGGTGAAACCCACGAGCACGGGTATGGTGCAGACAAACATAGAAACATAATCGGGGTGAACCGGAATTCGAACCCACAATCATAGGTTTCTGGCGTGCCCAATGGACGCAACTCTGCACAGCGAATATACGACTGGGTCACCCGTGCCCCCGCATTGGGTCTGAACACCTCTAAGCAAGTAACATTCAACATTTAACTAAAATCGAATTTCAGGTATAAATCACCGAACCTAAATTTTCTCACCCAAAATAACTACAGGGCACAGGCCCCTGAAGCAGGATAGTGATATAACTGAAACAGTGGACCCATATATATAAATACTTGTCTATTTATATATATGGGTCCACTGTTTCAGTTATATCACTATCCTGCTTCAGGGGCCTGTGCTTCAGGGCAATGATACGTTAAACAACGATATTAGCACGTGTAGCACGTCCAATTACTTGTTACAAATCACTTCACAACTTTGTCCATAGTCTGTCTCCCAGACCCAAGATAATAAATTTGAAAAAGGAGACCATCTCAAGTCTAGAACGATTGGGAATTTTTTTGGGTTGTTTCTTTGTTGTTTAACGCCGTACTCAGCACTACTACAGCTTTATGACGGCGGTATGTAAATAATCGAGTCTGGACCTGACAATCCAGTGATTGACATCATGAGCATTATCCACGCAAATGGGATACCATGACACGCATCAACCAAGTCAGCGAGCCCGGATTGGGCCAAAGTAGATTGCCTCAGTTCTTGGATGACATTAGACATTGTTCTCGGCTCCATTTGGAGTTATGTTTTAGTTTGTAGATATATAGAGAATATCGCCCGAGTGTCTTTTGATATCAAATATATCAACGAGTGTTGATATATTTGATATCAAAAGACACGAGGGTGAGATTTTATTTATCATCCAACATCATTCTTCCAACTTTTCCAGTTTGTAGACAGTAATTAGCAGTGTCTTAATTGTAAAAGCTACTGCTAACAACTTCAGTAGCGGAGCCATTAGTGATGTCATTTGATTTTGACGTCCTGGTAGCAATGACGTCACAATTATCCGCAAAGCATTGTGATGCAATTTCATTATTATTACCCATGTGGTAAGATACTAAATCCGTACGTCACAAGTGTGTCGCACTCTCCTTACCCAGAGTTCCATGCGGCCGGCAGCCAGCTAGCATAGTACCTCTGCCACAGGCCAGCGCCATGTGACGATTCGTCACGTCTTTCACAGTCCATTCAAGATATTGCATATGCCTTTCATCCGTTTCATGCTTGACAAGTCTACACATTTTCATAAACAAATGTCAAAGAATGGTTAACTTTCATTGAGAAAGTATGCAAATACGTAAAAATCTACTTGTTTTTGCGTAGTTATCCTTTGTTTACATTGGTTGTACGGCTCCACGTGCTGTCATCGAAGCCCAACGGAGAGCTAGCGACACGGTCACTTTGATGCATAAATATATATTGTCATGCAACTCACTGTCGCAGTTGTAGTAGCATATCTATATAGTTATGCAAAACAATATGTAAAGCGCCCCCAAATACTTGCATTAGTCCGTTCTATACTGATTTCTGAAAAAGCGCGTTTGTTTACAAACAAGAGAAAAGTCCGGTCACGTGATATGCAAATTAGCCTGTGGCAGTGGTGTTATGCTGAGTCACCACTGCGACGGAGTGTGACAAGGTTGACCTCGTTTTATTTTTATTTTTATTGGATATCTGTCACACCGGGACTACTTTTTTCATTCATAAAAAATCGCGAGACGTCATTCATTTTACAACTACAAGGCAGAACTGAAGCAATCTCATGAGAGCGAGAGATATTTACAAACACTTTATTAAACCAAACAAGATAGTCACACGCATCAAATTCAGTTTACATTCTATATAAGTTATGCATAGGGCTTCTACACACATTATATAATCGAGCTACAATGCACGACTACCGATCGCCCAAGCGATATCTCCTGTGTGAGCCAGTTTTGGATGATAAATATTTTTTAATAACACAACTTGAAATAAAATAAGAAAAAAATGTCAGTCTTTTTTGTCCATAAGGTCACTGTCCGAACACTTACCATTCAGCAATAAATAGTCAGACACACGTTTACCACATCCATATATAACAAGAGAATGACAATGCGATGTGTTCGATTATTGGTTATGTAACGAATGGTGTTTATACGCCAATACGGAATCCTTCCAGATGGGCACGAGCCTCCGTTCGGCTAATCACGGAATGACCCGAGTTGGTTACGAATATTCTTTAGGGTGACGTCACAACGCTATGGTGTCTCATATTGCACGTGAACGACGTCACAGCAAACAGCAAGATGCTGTCATTGTTTGTGTCAAATCCCGGGTAAATGCCACAAGAAATCGAAATCATGTGTTTCCTGTGTATGAGTCAATGTCATATTTGTCGAAATATCGAATATTGCGTAATTTTTGACAAGCAAATGTATGCAGTTAGACAGCTTTTGTTGTACTTGTATCGTTTCTCAGCTAACCAAGATATATAGAGGATATTTCATGCGTCGAGTAAAATATCATGTTTCTCTCATCGAGTGAGGGGGGAGAGGAGATATTTTCACGAGTAGCTTATAGCCCCGATTGAAAATATCTCCTTTTACCCCGTCACTCGATGAGAGAAACATAATATTCCACGAGACTCATGGGATATCATATTCATTATTTAGTTGTGTAGTTTTCTACCGGAAAATTAAATTATTTCATTAAAAATGTAAAACCTTGAAACGTAAATTCTCCTTACCTCACACACATTCACGGTTCACCACTCCTTGTATTTGCGACCAAAAAAA